AAATATCAGAGACTCACAAAAAACATGGTACATGGTAGGAATCCTGCTAATAACTATAATGTTAGTGACCATGAAAGTTTAAAACAATACAAAAAAGCTTTTTTCCCATGCCTATGATATTCCTATGCAAAGTAAAACTTCTTTATTTTATTCGCAAATAAGACATTGGACAAGTCTCAACTGCGAATATATTTTGCCTTAGCTGCTTAAGTCGTTTAAAGACTAAAATGCATTGGGCATTTGGATGACCCAAATACAGTGTTGGTGAAATCAACTGGCGGGGAAAACATTTAGGTCACGCTAATATTTTTCATGCGATCTCTGTGCAGGGTTTTTGCTCTGACACATTTTGGGCCAAATTTATCATTTGGCCCGGGTTGGACGACCCGCAGTCATCAATATGTAATCAGTGTAGCCCTTACAGCTTCCCAGTCCAAATTGATATTGTTCGCCACCAATTTGTTATTAAGCAATCGATTTCACAATATTATGGTATATAACAGTCAAAGATAAAAACTAGATTTTCCACAATTATAAAATTCTGAAGGAAAATTGTACATTTTAATATTATTACGTCGCAAGGTGGTGTCGACACCCTTTCAGTTGAAATCGATCAGATAGGTAGATGGATGGATAGATATGAATCTTTGAAATAATTTCGCTGTAGCGCGAAACGTGTAAAAAGTGTAACAGATTGTATGGTCGGTTCACTATGAAGTAATCTACGGGAATGCATTAATGTTCGGTTGCAGCGAGCGCGGCGTGTAATGTGCAATTTGCAGGCAGCCGTCAGTTAGTCACGCGACCGACGCCATCGCGCCATCGCCACCGTGACGCTCGCACCACGCTTTTGGGAACAGCAATAATACCAATAAGAACCTTTAAATATAAAATAACATAAACAATAATATGATATTACATAATTTAGAAAGAGGCGTTAAAAAGCAACTAACAGGCCGGCAAGGTGAGGATAGCTGTTGTGGCAAAAACTGCTGCACCAACTACCTATCTTCGCCTCTGGACTCCACCGTCCCTTAACAACTGAGTCTTTTGATCTAATAGATTTTATTTAATGTTGCAGTTTATTTTTCGAGAATACTTATAATGTAGATACAACCACAGGTCAAGTTATCCAAAACGGAAAAATATTCGCATAAATCGATAGTCAATCTTATCATAACCTGACAAAGCTCAAATTTAGTAGAAGAAATTCAACGGTTTGTGATTACATAAGACCTGTTGCTATCTGCACTAAAATATTTTTTTATTATCTATTTGACTCTCGCATTGCAGATGAATGATCTGCAACACGTCATGTCTGCAATGTGGGCAAACATTTCTAAAAGGTTCAAACTCGATTCGCTTGGGTACTGAACTGAAATAAAAGTGCCTTAAATTCAGCCGAATGTACCTATACAGGTTTGATCATTTTCTCCTGGATAACCTAACAAATGATTTCCCTGATATTAGTAATTCAAGAGTTTGAGGATAGGAACTCCTCCAAGCGCTCAAATTCCAGCTGTATACCAGATTTGTTATAAGACGTGTACTTATTAGTCGTGAATAACCTTTTTGACAGTGTCCACCAGGTTTGAGGCCGTGAGATCCTAAAACAGCCTCAGTCCAAAAATGGCTAAAGGCCTTTTTTATATGCTAAGGGTGGCAAACAAGCGTTAGGCCTCCTGATGGTAAGCGGCCACCATAGCCTATAGACGCTTGCGGTAGCAAACATAGCGGTCTCACCGTTGCCTACCCTTTTTTTTTATTACGTAGGTAAAAAATCTTTTTACCGACGACGGCGCCTTTAAGAGGCACACCGCCGAATGGACCTCACACCTGGCTCCCGCAAGTCTTACGGACCCCCTAGTAGCTGCCCACCGAGGACCACGCAACTCTTACGGGTGCTTTACAGCATAATATCCGCTAAAAAAGTCCTGCGAATACCTTCTACACTGCTTAATGCCGTGCCGCGGGGTCCCCGTTAGGGATTCTACCACGGCTCCGCATCCAGCAGTTTCCGCGCCTCGCCGGGGCTCCACGGCAGGGGTCTCCCGAGGTTTACGGAGACCCCGCAGACGTGCGCAAGTAGGCCCGCGCATGGGGGCTGGGTACGCGGTCTAGTGCCCACCGTACCGCCCCCCCATCCGCTGCGGAAGGGACTCCTGGGCGTATCCGTCCAAGAACCCTCCGGCGCCCCCCTCTTGCAGACAGAACCACATGAAGAGGGCCGCCGTTCCTGGGAGGGGGGAACGGGAGGGGAAGCGTAGTTCTTCCCGTCCCTCTCCCCCCTCCCGGCCGCCCACAGCTCCTCGTCCCTTCTCCTGGGAGAAGCGGGGGGAACGCGGCGACCGCATTCGTGGGGAGGTCCGAGCGGCCAGGGCTACTCGGACATCCCCTCCTCTGAGGGCGCCCGTACAGGCGCCAACGCCTCAGAGGGGCCATTCTCGGACCGTTGCCTACCCTGACCCAATCCTCTGCCCCGTGAAACCTTAGTCACCAACAGAAACGTAACACCACCAAAATATAGTGTTATTTTACTGTGATCTGATCGGCTATGCCCTACCTGTGTTGAAGGTTCTAGTAGTTTTCTAGTCTGCGCTCCACATTAGAGTAGAGGCCTAGTAACTTCTCTAGGCTGAAGGACGCTGGCAAGACTTGAGAGCGTCTTGAAAGACTGTCGGTTCTAGTCATATGCTTGTAGGAGCTTTCCAGATATCACATGAACTTGACTATGGAGTCCGGGTAGAATAGTGCTGGTGACCCACTTAGGATAGCAAGCTTCTTTTTTTGTAGATGCTCCAAATGATAACATGCTACCTATTCGCCACAAAATATAATAACAACAGCGTTCAAGTCATACGGAAGTTTATGCTTCAGGCCGTTTATTGCTGCGATTAACGCAAGATTTTATCGCGTATATAAATGAGACTAGAGGCCCGCCCATGCTTTTTTTCGGTGTAGAGCTGTAGTGTAGACTATAGTTTTTGTTCAAAGGCTTGTATTATACACAATGACCTTCTTCATAATAATTATATACCTTCCATTCCATGTAAAAAAATTGTTGCGTAGTTTAGGACCCGTTGTACCGAATGCAACATTGCTCTGCTGTTCCGATTTGAAAAAATATTTTTGTATTGGACAGTGCATATATCGAGGAAGGTTACAGGCTATTTATTACCCGGCTACGACCAGTAGCAGCGGAGCATCGATAAAAATTTTGCAAAAACGCGTAAAAATATTCCATTTGTGAGATTCCGTTGCGTGCGCTGGGTAACCAGTTAAAGTTACAAAAAAATCATGTGTGACGGAATTCTTTCCCTTTAAAAGTTCTGTAAAAAAGCCCACGACAACCTATGTCTATATTTTAAGTTTCACTCACCATAAAGATTTTTCTTCAAATTAACGCGGGTGAAATCGCAAGGGACCTCTAGTTGTGACATAACTCTAATAGTTAGACATAATTATGGTATCGCGGACTTTTTTCTAGATATTAGTATCCTCTATAAAACTTTAGTACATGACTTTATTGTCAATGACTTCCGCAGCGTACGCGATATAAGGCTATTTTTAAGTATTTTTTACACACGTTTTGTTACATTATCGAAGATTTCATATGGAACCCTAACTTTTTTGAAAATACACTATAGCCTATATTAATCAGTGATAACGTAGCATTCAAGTGGTAAAAGATTTTTTAAAATCAGTCCAGTACTTTTCGAGCCAATTCGTTACAAACATACTTACATACAAACCTTTCTTCTTTATAATATTAGTATAGATAAGATTCACAACTGATACAAAGATATATATTTAACGGTATCGTAATATAGACGCCCTACTCGTGCGCTCGTAACTTTTAACCTTTGCTTTGACATTTCACTCTAGTATAGGTTCGTTCGTTCGTTCATTATTTCGCCTAGTTTCTAGCAAATGAATCGCTTTTGTTCATAGTGCTCTATTCAACTGCGCTCCTTGGGCGCTTTCTCCGAGTTTCGCAAACTTCCTGGTACTGAACACATTTGCCATTTACAAAACATATCCAACGCCAAATAAAGACAGAACCGGAGCGTGGTCGATAGAACACTATTGTTCCCTTCCTTTCAGAGCTATAGTTAATGACGAAGCCCGAAAACGTCTCCTTCGTTGTTAAGTATTAAGTTAGGACATTAACATTCCTGTTATACTATATATTAATGCATTAACAGTTTGGTATATATGTTTATATATATACAGTTCAAGATTAAAAGCTCGCTTTATTTCTTATTGTGTTGCGAATACTGATGATGGTCATGCTGTTGTTTGGTTTCTTCCTAATTACGAAACCTAGAGTTTAAAGTAATCTTGTCTTAATCCATGATGAAAATAATACTCCGCTCAAATGGAGGCTTGGAAACTCCTCACTTTATACAAGGCGCAGACTAGAAAACTATTAGAACCTTCAAGACAGGTAAGGCATAGCGGATCAGATCACAGTAAAATAACACTATCTTTTGGTGATGTTATGTTTCTGTCGGTGAGTCAGGTTCCACGGAGCAGAGGATTGGGTCAGGTAGGCAACGGTGAGACCGTAATTATGGATATCGCAAGCGTCTATATGCTATGGTGGCCGCTTACCATCAGGCGGCCTTACGCTTGTTTGCCACCCTTAGCACGTTAAAGAGGCCGCTAGCCATTTATTGGATTGAGGTTTTCTTAGGATCTCACGACCTCAAACCTGGTGGACACTTATAAAGATTATCCACGACTAATAGGTACACTTCTTTCAACAAATCTGGTATACAGCTGGAATTTGAGCGCTTGGATGAAATCATTATAAGAAAATACCAGAGGATATTGGTGTTAAAAGAAGTGTACCTACACTTCTTTTAACAAATCTGGTATACAGCTGGAATTTGAGCGCTTGGAGGAAAGCATTATAAAATACCAGAGAATATTGGTGTTTCGTCATCTAGGTCGGACATATTCCACTTTTCTAGGCACATCATCATATAGTATTAATAGAGCTTACTGTACCGTGGGAAACTAACACACCAAAAGACCACACAATAAAATTTAATAAAAATCTCTTTTTAACCTTCTAAAAGACCAAGGCATGTTGAGAACTGCAGTAAGTTCAGTTTTGGAACAAGTAACTAAGGCTGCACTTACAGGCTCCTATCAAATTTGGCTAGAAAGAATGGGCAAATCGAGCAGTGAAGGTGAACGTTGATCTTAAAGGGGGCCTCCTTAAACCTACAGCTGGGTCGCAAGTCCCGGGTATTGCTCAGAGTGTCTCTCCCTGCCACACGATGGACCGGGCACCCGCACAGTGAATCCATGGATTGCTAAGAAGTTCGTCACTCTTTTCATTAATTTTTATTCCGGATTTTTTTTAAATCCCTTTTTTCAGAATTCTAACTTTAAACGAAGAATGTCGCAGGCAGAAAAATGCCCCTTTTAGATAGAGAACCTGGGCTGTTGGAAGTAAGGAACCCGTGCACGAGTTATACATTTTAATTGGAAATATTGAGTAATATAAGTGAGAAATGAAAAATAAAACCACAAATCCAAACAATTGGAATTTTTTCTTTGTTGTTTTATTGAACTGATCTGATAAGACTTCATATAAAATATTGTCATGATCTTACTACAAAAAAGTTAGACACTGTTTAAAACCTTGTTTAGGCAAATTTTGTATGTTTTTTTTTAATCTTGTGTAGAACGTGTCTAACCTTTTTTTGTGGTAATAAGGTTAATATTTAATAAAACTATATTAATGTAGATCAATTCCAAATAGTCACGAGTACTGCGGATGATGAAGCTTGTAACTCGGGTCGAGTCCTACATAGGTATGATTACAATGTTTCTGACACATTAAATAAAACCGATCTTAGATTTAATGGTATCTACACATGTGGCGGAATTCCGAATTAGTTTCGGGTATAGGTGAAGTCACCCTATACAGACTAAAAACTCCCAAACACCACATGAACCAAACATCAAATATAAAAATTATCATAAACGAATTAAATAAAATGATACCGAAATGAAAATGTTGAACTTCTAATTTTATATGTTCTTTTCTATATTGATATAGGATAAAATTTGTTTAATAAAAAATGTATATTTCGATTTGCTTAATGATTGAGAACTACTTAAAGAAAGTTAAACATCAATTTAGAAACACAACTAACAATTGTGCCGCAATATTACATCGACCATATTTTCCTTAAGGAGCAGAGTGATATATGAAGTAACCGATCAATTTGAACTGCGGGCTGATGGAGCGATGAGCTAGGCCGTTACACCCTTACCAAGGGTTTTCCGGGGAGTTTTCCGCTTTCGTAGTTTGTACCGCTCAAGTCGGTAGATGTAGGAGAGGTTAGAATTCAGAATCGAATTTCGTAGTGTCGGATGGGTTCAGCATGCGGGGTTGCCGGTGTCAAGGCAGCGGCGGGCACAGCGGTGCGGTGCGGCAACGGGAGGGGGAGAGCGGGAAGCTGCTCCCTCATTGATCGGCAGCGCGCAGCATCCCCGCGCGGGTCCGCGCCGCATCCCCGCAGTCTCCGAACAACCACAATACTTGAGCCTCTAATCGCTACGTTTCGAAAACCCATCACAGCCCTCAGCCTACGAAATAGCGGCAGTAATATCAACAGCCTAAAGCTCTCACGCGCTCTACACAGTTTCATAAAGCGTCAATACCAAGGCACTTTAAGTTATATTTCCCTCGTACTGAATAGCAGTCTTTCTATATTTCTACAGATACTCCGATACTCCTAAGATTGATATAAGTTCTTTATCATAATCTTGTAAAATGATACCTTTTATCTTAATACCACTTACAATTATTTAAAGAGCAGATATATTTTGCAATCGCTACAGACTCCGTGATCGAATGAAATGATAGTAAATCACAAGAGAGATGAAAGTGGTCACAATTAACGGACTTCGTGCACAAGTGAAAAATGAGAGTTAGGCAAATTTTGAAAAGGGCCAAATAATTAGCATAATAGTAGGCGGCGGCGGGCGGCATCGGCAGCAGGAGCCGGGTGTAGCGGGGCGAGGGGTACGGGACGAAGGTCGGGCGGTTGGGGCGCGGGCGGGCGGCGGGCGGCGAGCGGCGCGTGAATGGGCGGCAGCGGCTGCGCGGCCGCCAGTCCGCACACCGGCGGCTCCGCTGCCCCACGGTCGGCCGCACTCCGCTGAACAACAATGCTTAAAAACGCGCCGTGACCGAACAACGTACCCGCGGCGCGCCGGCGATGCTCGAGAATCGGACGGCACGCGTGGCCGTCGGCGAGCGGTGATTCAATTTATGATATCTGAGAATTCGGGCAGAGTTTTGGATAGGTTCGTATAGGGAGTGCGGCGTAGGGAGGCGGGGGTCGGTGTCGCGCGTCGGGCGTCGGGCGGGCGTCGGTCGGGTGATGGCGCGGCGCGGGGCGGCGGCGGCGGCGGCGGCGGCGGCGCGCGGCGCGGCCTGCTCGCGGCGCTGACATGGGGTGGCGGGCGCGCCGCTCGCTGTTGGCGGCGCCCGCGGGCCTGCTGCTGCTGCTGGCCCTGCTCTGGCCGAGGGGTAAGACACTCACCAAAATAGCCTAAACTTTCCCTCACCACATATCTCATTTTCCATCATCATATCAATACCCACCTTAACAAACTACCAAAACATCCTCAATTTTCCCTTATTACACCAAAGTATACTATAATTATCTACCAAAACACCCTCAACATTCGACGGAATGCACCATAATTGACTACCAAAACACCCTCAACTTTCTCCCTCATCACCCCGAAATACACCATAATGAACTACCAAAATATTCTCAACTTTCCCTCATCACACTGAAATACTCCATAATTGAACTACCAAAATATCCTCAACTTTTCTCATCACATCGATTCAGACCATAACTAACTAGGTACCAAATACCCTCTTCTTTCTCTCATCACATCAATACACATCCTAATTATCAGAATACCCTCAACGTACGTATATACGCATACGTACACAGAGTAGACAGGAATGACAAAAATAAGTTCCTAGATACTCAAATCATTGTTATCGCTTATCGAGCAGTGTAAGTGATGGTTATTTCACCATTTAATACTACCATAACCATAACACTTACCGCAACGGTATTTAACAACTTTGTTACGTATACTTTATAGGTAGATTTCAGACTAAATTATTCAATGGGTTACAGTTGCATTTTCTCATCACATCATTTTACTAACATTGACATCTCCAGAAGCTTTTCCACTGTTACGTAAAGTAGGATACTTTATTCAAAATACATTTATCCTTTACATCGAAATTACCATCCTGATACTTTGGTAACTGTTTTCTAATTCTAGCCTTATACTGATAGAAAAATTAAAATAATTGCCATAATAACCAACGCCTGTACATACATACATTTCAAATTAACAAGTAGCCGTACATTTACTTGTCTTATATTATTGCAATACACCCCACTTGTTAACACCTTTTTCATAGGATGTAGCACCACAGAAGCCTTTACGAAAACTCGCAGTAAAAATAATAATAGTTACTCAACGAAACAGTGGTGTATCAAATAATTCTCCATTCAATTTTTCTATAAAAACACCTCCAGCCCTAATATGATTGCGCCAAATGTTTATTACTTGAAACTGGATCATTGCGTAAACAAATTATATCTACTCCATATTGGAAAACAACCGCAATATTCCATTCGTTACACTACTTATTATAGGAGTAGCAGTAATAACTATGAGATTTTGAAGCATTATTTAAATAATTGAAATAATAATATAAAATGACGATAAAAATCTACAAACGTGACAAAAACATTGTTACCAAAAATATTGGGTTGAAAAACACATGCTTTCTTTCACTTTACAGCAATATTGATAATAATATTTTTTTAATGACTTAGCAATTGCTAAGCAGTTATATTAATCAGGTGTTCCATGTTAATATTAATGATAAACATAGATGAATGGTAAAACAATTCATAGAAATACAATTAAATGAGAGAAGACACCAATAAATACGACTATAATGCATAGGTTGCTCACACTTGTTAGCGCAGATTAACTTTAATATCCCATATAAATCTGCTCGACCTTCACGTTATGCACCTTTCCGAGCAGGGGCTTCCAGATCTAACCTTGGTCATTTTTGTACCATTAATAGACTTCAGTCACAATATAACATACTATCACGTACGCTGGCCGCTTCATCCAAAAACAGTGATATAGACATGACTTCTTCTCTTCGCAAACTTAAGTCTGCTATTTTAGACTCCTTTGTGCCCACATAGATCAAATCATATTATTGTTTAGCATACCACCACAACGGCGTCGATTCTGGCAGCGTTCTTTAGGCCTAGACTTGGATTAGGCGGCAGTGTATCCTTGTCATTCTCAATACAGAGTGCAAGTGAGGGACTGGTGTTGGATCTGTTTTTGGGTCTGGAGAATGATGTCAGAATGGATATGAATATGTACCTAACATTTAGTTTTGTAGTTTTGAAGTGTTTATACTAGATTCCCTTATTTTTTTTATCGTAAGTCTACTTCGTAAGTAATTTTTTACGCATGCACCTTTAAGTAAGGCAGCACTAAGAATTGTTTTCTTTATTTCTTTCTCAATTTGTATTTTTATTTGGTGTTTGTTTTGTTGGTTGTCCTTAATAAATAAATAAATAGATATTATTTAATTTGAAGACCTCTGTCTGTCTTCGTGATGCGAGTGGAATGTACGCCGAATTTCAAGGTGTCGCCTACTCGAGAGGTTCAAATCCCGGTGGGGCAAATGTTAGTATGATGAATACGAGGATTTGTACCTAAGTCATGGATGTTTGTTTATATTTCTATATGCATAAACTTATATTTATATATATCAGTGTATGTATGCCATCTGTTAACCTTGTAGCCCATAACACAAGCTTTCCTTGCTTACTTTGGGGCTAGGCTAATTTGGTGTGAGGGTTGGAAATATTTATTATTATTATTATTCACTAGATATTATTTAAAATCAGGCAACGTGGACCTATTTTACAAATACTTTATAATCTGAAATATAAACGGATATAAATCATTAAACAAAATTGACCGTTATCATATTATACCGACAAAATAAAGAGTTGTGTTAATTTGTTATTCATATCCTTGTTTAGATAACGGATACTTCTTTCGGATTATATAAAAATACATTCAGTAGATTATGTTTAGTTGTAAAATCTTAGTGAATACCTTTATTAGAAAACCTAGCACGTAGTCGACGACGACGTGTGACCGGATAACAACACATTTCGGGCACAGTTCCGCCTTTATAAAAGATAAATTAATCTATCTATATTATCTAAGTCTAGAAAGCATCATTAGTTTATTAATTAGCACTTAAATTACTACACTGACTTACAAGAATTGTAATCAAAGAATATTCATTTACATTGAGAAGTTGTATAAATAACCTAAATAACATATAATTAACATAAAGACCGTAATCAAGTCAATCCTTTTTTGTTATTTTGAATGTAAAAGTAGATTTTCCTACATACAATACTATTAAAAGGCAATATTATTTGACATAATAATTAGTTTCAGGAGGTCTTGGAATAATAGGGAACTAAAGGGGTTGACTGAGAAATAAGTAATCGGCAATTATTTAACGTAAATTTTTGTCCCTTAAATTGAAAAAGCTAAAAGTAATACCTCCCTTGCCTCGTCGATACGGGGCCAGTATTGTTTCAGCTCACCCTCAGACACGTTTGAGCATTTCGCCAATCAAAGCTTAGTCACGCACGAGACATCAAAGTGTTTCAGGGGCCAGAACACTGGGACGCCACAAAAGACCAAGTTTTGAGATCTCTCGATCCAACAACGAAAGGAGCGCGCCTTTGTAATTTTGCTGATAACGTGACAAGCTTTTAAGAACTCCAAAAGTTAAGAACCCAGATTAAAACTGTTAATGAACCGTCTCGTTGTTTTCTTAACACAGTTAACAGTTTCCTTTCAGAATAACAAGACATTTGTTGTCTGTTTAATTAATTTAATTTAAATAATAACATAACTTCTTTCTATTCTTAAGGTTCTGCAGTTTAATAGAAACCGTTGTCGGATCACTTTTCTGTCCTACTGTACGTTTTTTAAGTCCCATTTTCTTACTAACGCCTTGTACTATTATGTATTCTGTGGTAACGCGTGAAAATATCAACATGAAATTGATATCAAATAGTCTGTAATCCTTTAAAACAGTGCAAAATCAAAATTCTAAGTCAAATCAGTCAAAAAAATTATGATCCGTTTGTGTTGTTTATTTTGGCGATATAAAAGAATTCAAAACCTATAAGGTACACTTCCCTTTGACCAAGGATGAGCCTATAAGGATCATGAAGCCCAAGAAAAGGGAGTTTACGTATATGAACGAACTATTTACATACCAAATTAAATTTTATATGAAATCTTCGGACTCGCAATTTTTTTTATATTTATTAGAGACCTTATTTAGAATTTGTTCAGTTCAAAATCTATTTTATATCATTCAAACCTTCATCAGTCAAGACGCCATAATTAGGTGCTTAGGTAATTTAATCATATGTGTTTTTTCACGATGCAAAAATCGCTGTTGATGTTCTGGCATAGTCTAGGGATCTATTATTCTATTATACCGCCCCTCTTTGTGATAAATATTTATAATAATAATAAATTTATTTTAGATATTACATTGATTAAAAAAATACAATCAAAATACTATTAATTGATGTCATAAATAAACATCAAATAGGCAATATCATCAATCAGAAATAATAATAATTAATAGATATATAAAATAAAAGATTTTCTCCCAGCAATATCCTCATACAGCGATGCTGTATAGGACAATCCCAGCGACCGATGACCAGCGCAGGATGGCATTGCAACTACCTCGCACTCACGTAGGGATAAAAATATATCACAAGGAAATAAATTACTTACTTGAAAATAACACAAATCAATTAACGGGATACAAAAATGCAAATATTAAATGATTAAATTCGCGTAACAACTTAAAATCTTATAAAAGACATCAACGCGCTACCTTATTATAGCAAGCAAACCAAATAATTGGATTTATGACAAAAAATATAATATTATCAAATAATATGTTACTTCTTCTCAATGTTTGATAACATGTCCAAATAAAATTATATTTTATATGCTATGCGCCTTTACTATATAATTTTATTGTAAGTTTTGTAACAAATATCTCTCTACCAGTAAACTATCATATAGATAAGGATTTGTCGTGGCAAACATCATAAATCCATTTTTTTTATAAACGATGACAGCGTTGTTAAGCATTAAAAACCCTTTTCAAAATCTCCATGATCGAACCCATGCCATGATTTAGGAAAATCCATGGGGAAAATCTCGAATAAAAATTATTCAACAACCTGGTCGTATGAGCAAGAAAATATCTAACGAACAGTATGAAATGAAAACCCGTGCTGAAAAATGCAATAATGTGTAATGTAACCAAGTCAAACTGTCTTTTTTTTATATTCTTTGGATTGTTCATCGAAATAAACTTTCTAATTTATCGATTGTAAAGACGTGATTTTATATTACATTATAATGTTAGAGTTGATATTAGAGATAAGTCAAGTTTTCCTACTTTTTAATTTAGTTGTGGATGAGGACAGCTTTTGAGGCAGGGTTGCGTTATAACTTGCAACGAAAATAACAAACAAAATAGACTATTTGACAGTATGAAAAAAAAGTACCTACCAATTATTAGCATCTGTATTTGACATGAATATTGGGAGCGATTTCACTTTTCTGACAAAAACAGTAGTTGATAATATTACTAAAAATCATGAAATAGAAAAGAAATATCATGATTTATTGTCACGTGACTAAAAACGCCTAGGATTGACGGAACCTTAAATGACGTCACCTCCTTTTAAACATGTGCTTGAAGTTACATGACTTTGTACTATTTATCGTTTTAATGAGAGCTGTGTGACATTACCTGCTTGTAAGACGCCATATTTGCTAGAGAAACTTTTCCGCGGCATATTTGAAAACACAATTTTTGTTTTCGTTTTTTTTACTGATAGACGCAACATAATTATAAATATCCTATATTATAATACTTTTTATGGAATCACTTGACACTAATTAAATAAATAATGAACGTTTTCAAAAACTTGTCAAATTGCCTATTTTAAGCGCCAGTATTCCAAAATTTTCGTTTCTAAGTTCTTAGAAGATACATAGGTGATGTTATAAAACTAGACTAGAATAATAGGATAGATGCAATATTTTTATTTTTGTTTTTATTTTAAAGAATTCCATGTAGAATAAATCACAGATATATTAAAAAATTAAAACATTGTAATTTATCGGAAAAAATGCGGTTTTAAATTGTCAGTTTAAATTTTTGCGCGAAAACGGACCTATGGTTCCGATGACGTCACTCCTGTCTATCACTGTGCGTACTTGTTCGTCGCTGGCTTTCAATTTTCATACCTTTGCATATTTTTCCGACTTTCGAGACATTTTTTTGTAAAAATTTAAAATGGATATCCATCAACATCAGGTGATCATAACAATACCACTGATATTCCGAAAAAAAGCCGTGTTGACTCATGTTTTGTGCCAATGTGTCCATCTACTTCAACAAAGTATCCAAATAAATTGTTTTTGACTTTTGATTGAATTAATTTAATTGACCCAAAATTGAAAAAAAAGTCGTTTCAAGCTGCGAAGAGAAATGACAATTATTCTCCAAAGATTCATTATTCGATGCTGTGAAGATCACTTTGACGTAAGTCGGCGAATATATTTGTTATATGCTTAATTAATCTGCTTGTACGTAAAAACACAATACTTAAAAAACCTGTCTATAACATATTTTTATTTTACAGTTGGAGAACGACGTCAAAAATTGGATAAAGTTTAAAATGTGTGGCACAATCTTCACATTGGCAGAACTGAACCAAGCTTTGCGTTTCATTTAAAATAACTGTAACACGAACTCGACCTTTTACTGTACATAATTCTCCATCTCTTTTAATTTGGACATAGCCGATTGCATTATCGCCGCAAGATTTGTAGAAGCCGCTGAATAAAATACGAAGTTTAACAACTACGATTTTTACATACCGTAGTAATTTAGTCCCTTTCATTTCTACACTTAAAAACTCTGCACTTTGGACAAAAAAAGTTATAACCATGTCAACACTAACTCTTGGTAAATTCCTGGAGTCTGCTTTCATAAACGCAACTTCCATTTTGTATTAAATGTAAAAAAACGCAATTAATATTCCCATAAAATAATATTTACTTTAACAACCATAACCTTAAAGAAGTTGTCATAACAGGAGTGACGTCACTAAACGCTGATTGGTTTCAAGTATTTTTAATTCGTAATAATTATTAAAAAACAACATTATCTATACTTATAATAAATCTGTAGAGAGGTCAATTCTGTACATGAAATATATTTTCAAAATAACTATCAGGGGGTGATTAGTGATCGATACTAATGCCAAAAATGCAATCAGTAAAATTTTTGTCTGTCTGTCTGTGTGTATGTTTCTTATAGAAACAAAAACTACTCGACGGATTTTAACGAAACTGGGTACCATTATTCTTCATACTCCTGGGCAGGTTATAGTATACTTTTCATTACGCTACAATCAATAGGAGCAGAGTAGTGAAGGGAAATGTTGGGAAAACGGGAGAAGTTACTCCATTTTTTAAGCTTCCGTCGCGTGTGCAGCCTTAACGGTTAAAGTTACATAGAAATCATGTATAACGGAAATATTTAACATAAAATTGTCTAAAAAATATCCCGCAACAGCATATGTCTATCTTTTATGGTTGACTCACAATAACACGTGTAACTCCTGATAGCTTAGCAGTTCGGAGCATTCTGATTATATTTGTTTACTCTTACGTTTATAATACTCTCACTCATCCCTAATTTAAAAAAGTTAACATTATTACCTATTCAATAAAAAAGAATCATAGAAATCGGTATAGAAACACCAAACTTATACATGAAATAAGCCATCGCGCCGTCGCACGTGAATACTGAATCATGCTATAAGGATTATTTTTGTGTAACGGTTGCCGTGCTCGACACGGGTCGCGGCCACATAAAATATACACTAGGCGGTAGGGTATAAAAAGGCGGGAGGTCCGAAAGCGAGCTTCCCCGCCCCCCGATCCTGAGAGACCTTCAGTCGCTCAGTCCCAAACCGATACGGATGCACATCAGAGTGCACCCGTCCTCTAAGCGCACTATGCAGTAGTATTTACTAAGGCAGCGCTGCATCATCCCCTTCTCAGGGGTTGATCGCATCAGATGAAGCCTGTAAGGCCCCTAAGGCCATAGGCAGCTTCATTCAATATTTGGCTGTTGAGGCGTTCAGAGCGTTCGACCTTATTGACAGACAATAATTGATATTGAGAAACCGTGCTTATCTTAGAATAAAAAACAAACATTTGTAAACAAAATTAGCAAATAAATCATGTAAAACGTGTAGAATATGAGTACTGGAAAACGGAAATATGAGAATTTTAGTTTGATTATAAATACAGGTAATAAAAACGACCGTTTTTATCTATAAATGTATATAAAAGTCAAAGGTGACTGACTGACACAGTGATCTATCAACGCACAGCCCAAACCACTGGACGGATCGGGCTGAAATTTGACATGCAGGTAGATGTTATGACGTAGGCATCCGCTAAGAAAGGATTTTGATCAATTCTACCCCCAAGGGGATAAAATAGGGAATGAAAGTTTGTATGAAACTTTGTCAATTTTAAACCGATTGGGCTGAGACTTTGCAGGTATAAGAAGAATCATAGATGAATATCATTGTGTATAATACAAGCCTGAGAACAAAAACTGTAGTCTACACTTCAGCTTTATACCGAAGCGAAGCGAGGACGGACCGCTAGTGTAAAATAAAAACGTTGCAGTGGCGTTTCTTTTATATTTTTTTAACATTTTAATCATAAAATTTTCATAAATATTATATATGCATCTTCCCTATTAGCCTAGCCCCAAAGTAAGCACTGTAAGGCTTGTGTTATGGGATGCTAGAGTAACGGATAGAATACATATACTGTACATAAATAAGTATATTGATATAGAAATACATATTAAACATCCATGACTGGAGTACAAATGCTCGCATTCATCACACAAACATCTGCCCCCACCGGGACTCGAGCCCGGGACCTCTCGAGTCGGCGACACCATGAAACCCGGCGTACAAACCACTCGGCCACGGAGGTCGTGGCTAACGTCGAACCTTATTCTTACTGTAGCTTTAAAAGCTCTGCGAAACTTAGTTACAGTAAGTGTCACGTCATGACATAACATTACACAATAGTGTTATTTAAGTACACGTGCTGTAAGGTAAAATACTTCCCTAAACAACGCTTAAATCACCTACAACCCAGCCATCCTCATTCTTGCCGGCCTGCACGAAATCTTCTTCACGCCTATTATAAAGGACCATAACAGGCGTGAAGAAGCATTCGTACAGGCCGACAAGGATGAGGATGGCTGGTGTGGTAGTTAAAAACTGTTGTATCAGCTATCTTCGCATCTGGACTCTACCGCCACTTAACATCAGGTGGTGTGTCGTTTATTTATCTTACATAGATCTCTCATCTCTCTTGAATACTTCTTTACGTCCTATTTGAATGACTCTGGGTCATAGGAAGGAGGATACACATATACAGTGAAACCTGGTTAAGTGGGACCTGGATAAGTGAGAAACCTCTATTATTGAGAGTTGCAATGAGGTCCCGGTTCTTTTTCATTAAATTACCTCTGTTAATGGGACTTTTTGAACCTGGTTAAATGAGATTTGAATTCTAAGACTCTTTCGATGTTTACCTCTTGAGACTCTGTAGCTCAATAACCTGTATAAGTGAGACTAATTAATCAGGTTGTAACACGTTTTGACATGTTTGTTTACATACATTTCGCGTCGTTTTTCGCGCATGCTTTGTTTGTCAGTACTCTAAAAATGGAATAACGGCACATTTCGACCTCTGTAAGCGGGGGCCTCTGTAAATGAGACAACTATAATTTTAAACCTTCTTAATTGGAAAACTGGATTATTGGATACCCTCAATAATTGGTACATATATCTTAGTCCCTTGAGATCCCAATTAACCAAGTTTCACTGTACATGCGCGGTCAAAATTCCATGTTTGAATTTATATTTTCAACTAAAAACAAAAGAATACAAACTAACTCAATCTCGTATTCGACAGAGGCGTGCGGCGGCTACCACGAGAAGCGGCTGCTGCATCACCTGCTCGACCACTACAACGTGCTGGAGCGACCCGTGGTCAACGAGAGCGACCCGCTGCAACTCTCCTTCGGCCTCACGCTCATGCAGATCATCGACGTGGTAAGACTCCTACCTGTAACCAATCTCACCAATTCTAGACTACTACTACGTGCTCGAGTGGCCCGTGGTCAACGAAAGCGACATCGAGTATGTAGAAGTGGCTGAAAATCAGATAAACGGCTAGAACTATCAATAACTTTATATTTTTTAATAATGTAAGTAATTGTTTATTGCTTATGCTTATATTTACTTTGTTTTGGGTACAAGCTAATGTAAAAATCTGTAATGATATTTGCGACCAAAATAACAAATATTAAACAAAACCTTTTTTTTTAGAACTCAGTGAGCTCTTGATTAAAAATATTTGTTTCTCCTTCAACAGGACGAGAAGAACCAGCTACTAATAACCAACATCTGGCTCAAATTAGTGAGTAGATATACAATAATGGAACAATATTTGTAAAGCAATTAACGTATTACTGCCTCTCTTCAACCATAGGCTGATATGTTTGCACTTGATTATTTTTCGTAATTTTAGCGAAAGTAAAAAGGTACAAATTCATATACAAAATGCTTTAGTACACAATATTTTAGTAATGCGTATTAAGTGAGTGTACGTATGACCAAAGCTTTTCTTATAATTTTTTTTGGGGGTGTGGTTTGCGGAATAACAGTATTTAAAACTTTTGCTATCTATATACTTATAATAAATCTGTAGAGATGTCAATTCTGTACATGAAATATATTTTTAAAATAACTATCAGGGGGTGATTAGTGATCGATACTGATGCAAAAAATGCAATCAGTAAAATTTTTGTCTGTCTGTCTGTCTGTGTGTATGGTCCTTATAGAAACAAAAACTACTCGACGGATTTTAACGAAACTTGGTACAATTATTTTTCATACTCCTGGGCAAGTTATAGTATACTTTTCATTACGCTACAATCAATAGGAGCAGAGTAGTGAAGGGAAATGTTGGGAAAACGGGAGAAGTTACTCCATTTTTACCCGGCTGCGCAATGCAAGAGCGCGAAGCGCGACGCGCGACGCGCAGACAAGGTTATGTGTTTAACAGTCTATATATGTATGTTTGTTCCTTTGTGGCACACTAGAGACCAAACGCCTGGACCGATTTTGATGATTCATACATCAATCGATTCGTCTCAATCATGGGAGTGCTACTAAAGATATGATAGTAATCAAAATTCAATATGGGCAACATTAGGCGCCATATTGTGACGAAGTAAAAAAAATAAGTTGACAAAATATGGGTATCACTGTCTAGATAATCAAAAATCATATTTAGGTTCCTAACACCATTTTTCATTTTATATGATTGTTTAGGATCTACAACGCTTTAAACGATATCTATTTCCAAATTGCATTAGTAGATTTTTATAGGTTAATCACCCCTTTCATCACCCTACACCCTTTTTTTTTTCTTTTTTGTTTTTTTTTGTGACGAGGGGAAATGTAGTTACGCACCATACCGTGACGCTGACTAGGCGCACGGCGTGTGTGGGACTCGCCGGCACGGGAAACAGTGCCGACCCTACTCAAGCAGGACCAGTGCGGAAGGCCACACTGATCCTAATCCACTAAAACTGATATGATAGTAATAGTAGTAATATGATAGTAATCAAAATTCAATATGGGCAAAATTAGGCGCCATATTGTGACGAAGTAAAAAAAATAAGTTGACAAAATATGTCAAGTGGGGTATCACTGTCTAGATAATCAAAAATCATATTTAGGTTCCTAACACCATTTTTCATTTTATAAGATTGTTTAGGATCTACAACGCTTTAAAGTTGTATATTAACCACTTACGCTTTTAATTTCAATCTTACGTTTGTATGGATCTTTGTTACTCTTTCACCTAAAAAATACTGAATGGATTTTAATGAAACTTAACAGTAATATAGCTTATATATGATAATTACATATATATAATAATTTATGTACTTATTGAGTGAATTGGCCAATATATAGCAATAAGTGTCACATCTGCGAGCCACTTTGGCCTGCACTGCAAAAACAATAAAAGTTACATGAATGTAATGTAGAGTGAAAATGTATCTCTTAAATAGTTCTAAAAAAGGTCCGTGACACCATATATCTATTTTTAATGTGTAAGTCATTACCGCTAAAATAGTGAATCAAAACTAAAATATTATTTGATATCTATTTCCAAAATGCACATTTTGTATTAACAAATCATTTTTATCAAAACAAATACTTTAATCGCTTTTGATATTTAAAGACGATAAACTTAGCTTTTTACACTATGTCATTTCGACAAATATTTAAAAAGTTACAACGATGACAAAGTGATACCGCAGTGTACTATGTAAAAGAAAAGAAAAAATGGGGTATTCGCAGTATCATATCGTCCATTTTAACTCCTCGCAATGACCAGGCATCTGAGATTAATAATAAAATACTGTCGAATATCCAGGGGGAAAGCAAAGTTTATAGTTCAATAAATAGAATGGCCGATGAACAAGAAGCCACTAATTACCCGATAGAATTTTTAAATTCTTTAAACATGCCCGGACTTCCTTCTCATAAAATTTGTTTAAAAATTGGCATTCCGATTATTCTGCTCCGAAATTTAAGACCACCACAACTTTGCAATGGAACTCGGCTTAAAGTAACCCAGTTGCAACAAAATGTAATCGAGGCTCAAATTTTAACAGGTTGCGGTGCAGGAGAAACCACCTTTATTCCCAGAATTCCCATAATACCAAATAATTTTCCATTCCAATTTAAAAGAACGCAATTCCCAGTATCGGTGAGCAATGACAATAAATAAGGCTCAAGGGCAGACTTTTCGTGTTGCTGGAGTAGATCTCGGTGTCAGTTGTTTTTCACATGGTCAGTTATATGTCGCTCTTTCCCGGGTTATCAGTTCTAGAAATCTTTATGTTCACGTGCCGGACGGGTCAACTTTCAACGTAGTTTACCCGGAAGCTTTGAGCTGAAGTATTTTCATTCTATATGTACTTAAGCCTCATGTGAAAGTGATCTAAACAATATTCCCAATACATTAACATAATAACACACAAGGAGTTACACGCTGATGGTCTCGGGGCACAGTGATAATAATAATATTCTGCGGTTCCTTATTGCGATATTTTTAACAGTATTGTGGATTGACATATTATATTTCCCTACTAAAATACGAAAGTTAATCTGTCTGTCACATCAAAACCACGGAACCCTGAGGAAGGACATATGCTACTTTTTTACGAAAAACGACAAAAACGCGGACGAAGTCGCGGGCAAAAGCTAGTAATCAATAAGTGCGAAATTTCCACTAGTATGATATTTTTTAATATCAATTCTGGGTAGTAAAAAAAGATATGTAAGCCGAAAGCCATTGTAAATGTATTCAAAATGTATACAGTTGTTTGGTGAATTTAGAAATTGTAAGTCTGAATAATTGAGATTTAGACGAAAGATGATTATTTTTTATCGCAGGAATGGAATGATATGAACTTGAGATGGAACACTTCGGACTTTGGTGGTGTCAAAGATTTGCGAGTACCCCCACATCGGCTATGGAAACCAGACGTCCTTATGTACAACAGGTGATATGCCATAAAATATTTTTCACTATTTACATGTATTGTCACCAACATAGTATTGATATTAAATAAGTATTATTTCACAACCAACATTATGTTGGTTAATCATTCATCACTCTCAAAGTTATGCAAAATCTTAAACAAGTATTACCAACCACACACGATACAATTTGAAGCAGAAACTTTTGAAACACGACACGACCCGACGCCACGCTACGTGGGGTTTTCCATGATCAGTGTGTGCGCATTGCGTCGCATCGGTTGTTCTAATGTGATTCTGTACATAGAAAATAGTAGATTTTGATTTGACTCAACACGCGCCGCGTGGCATCGGGTGCTGACTGAAACACGCGGAGCAGACGTCTGCTCTGTGTTCCTGCTTAACGCAGCCAAGTCCCTTATAATTAGTAAGAATAGATGTTAATGATTTTGGGGGCGTTACAGCGCGGACGAAGAGTTCGACAGCACGTACCCGACCAACGTGGTGGTGCGCAACAACGGCTCGTGCCTGTACGTGCCGCCGGGGATCTTCAAGAGCACCTGCAAGATCGACATCACCTGGTTCCCCTTCGACGACCAGCGTTGCGAAATGAAGTTTGGCAGTTGGACTTATGACGGATATCAAGTACGACTAACACATTATTGAGTTAGCTTCTAGGACGTTAACTTTTTTTGTTTAGGCAGGTAAAGCGGCGACTCATAACTGGACCCCGCATTTTCGCCTGGAGGGCGAGGGGTAGATCGGGGAGTTGTTTTACCTGGTAGGTACGGGAGCTGGTCGGCTGGCTAGCCGCTCGGGCTGCGGTCCGTGAGACTAGTCAGGTGACGCTGTGAACGGAGAAGCCCAGTATCGGCTAAAGCGGGTGCGGACCGGGCTACTGGTCGGAGGCGGGGTGGTTTGACGTGTGCCACGCTTACGTGAGCGCACGTCAAAGTATACCCGCACTGACTAGCGGCCCTCGGGCTGTTGCCGAATGCACCACGCAATTACCTGCGTCGCGAGAGTTTGTTGACAGCAAACCGTCCATCCCATCATCGAAAAAAAAAAAACGGGCTGACTGTCCACCTGATGCTAAGTGGTCACCACCGCCCATGGACACTTGTAGCACCAAACCAAGCGTCCAAATGGTAGGGATGAAACTTATCTCTTAGATCTATTATGAGGATTTGTTCGAAATTTTTTGTGAGTATAAGATTGCTGTAAAACTGTGAACTTGAGACTAAAAAGGGAGAAGGACTAGATGTATATCATAATGTGTTCAACCTTTTTTAAATCTATGCTAAAATAGATTAAGAACAGCAGAAAAATGAAGCCATAACGTAGACCCCAAACATGAATGTAAATTGTATTAACCATCGTTTCAAAATTCACAGTTGGACCTTCAACTACAAGATGAAGCGGGTGGAGATATAAGCAGTTTTGTCACGAATGGCGAATGGGAGCTCATAGGTAAGGAAACAATATTAAACTTTGTAGCTTCATGCACTGCACTCCGTATGTTTGACCTAGTTGAGATGAATGAGCCAACTGCTTCAGAATTGCTCGAATAAATTGACAATTATAAATGAACATGACTGGTTGATTGTAAGCAAACGGGTTGTATTTAACGGGACTAATGTGACCGACAATCTATCTAATTCATTTTTCTCTAATTTGCTTTTCTTCCTACTCCCTTATATAGTTTTATATTTACTATCCCTCTTTACTTTGACTTTCGATTGTACCGAGCCCCTAGCTGTATCAAAAGCAACCTCGAGTACGGTCAGAACATTATTAAACACGTTGGAAATATGAATAATAAGTGCTAGTTAATAAACAAATTGTAAAATATTTTGATTAAAAAATACGTAAAAAAATATTTTGTCAACAGGTGTACCGGGCAAGCGCAACGAAATTTATTACAATTGTTGCCCAGAGCCCTACATTGACATCACATTCGCAGTGGTGATCAGGCGAAAGACGCTATACTATTTCTTCAATCTCATCGTGCCCTGCGTGCTGATCGCCTCCATGGCGTTACTTGGATTCACTTTGCCTCCGGACTCGGGCGAGAAGTTGTCACTGGGTACGCAAAAGTTATTTTATGAATTAATTTTGCACACATAAAACACTTGAAATCTATTTCTATGTCAAGCTATAACACAATTTACCGGCAGTTAACATTTACATTCAAAGAAGTAATTCTTCAAACACAGAAGAAATAAATTGCTTGAAGAACATTCTGAACGTTAATTGTACGCAAAATCCTAACACTGCTTAAAAAACGTTTTTTTGGAAAATCTGAAAAAAAAGGCTGACTCTCTTATTAATAAACAAAGAAATATTTCACGCAGTGTTTTAATTATCTGTGTTCTTAGTAATTACAAATTATGTAACTGTTAGTGATGACTGCTGTATACCTAAGGACACGGCAAAACTAATCAAAAAATTATTTTCGTTTATTAACAAGGGGTTGAAAGAATACAAAGGTTAAGTTACAAGAAAATACACACCTTCTAAAACCGAGAGCTTCATACATTTTTTGTTGCTAACAGGCGTCACGATTCTGCTGTCACTGACAGTGTTTCTGAACATGGTGGCGGAGACCATGCCAGCCACGTCCGACGCAGTGCCGCTCCTCGGCACCTACTTTAACTGCATCATGTTCATGGTCGCCTCTTCTGTAGTCTCTACTATACTCATCCTCAACTACCATCACAGGCACGCAGACACGCACGAAATGAGCGACTGGGTTCGTATAGACACATTTATTTGCCCCCGCTAATAGTTATACCTATACCCCCTGTACTTATACAAAACCATTATGCGTTTTAAATATTTCAGATCGATTTATGTATCTGTTAATTTTAGACGCATATTATTTGTAACGTATAACAGAAACTTAAGGAGTCCAGATGGTCACTTGTATTAAATTTAATATAAACACTGGCAGACAGTGAATCAGCAACTAAAACTATTCCTTCTGGACCGTCTGGCCACTCTAAAATTTTAACTGTAATAGGTTTTTGCGTTCTAATTTTAGAGTAGGCCCGATATAATGTGCTATACGAACTGAATTTGTTCAAGTGAATATGACTCGCAGATTCGTTGCGTGTTCCTGTACTGGCTGCCGTGGATCCTGCGCATGTCGCGGCCCGGGTCGGCAGCGACGCCGCCGCCAACGCGCGCGCCTCCCCCACCCGACCTGGAACTCCGCGAGCGCTCCTCCAAGTCGCTGCTCGCGAACGTGCTCGACATAGATGACGACTTCAGGCACGCGCAATCGCAGCAGCCGCCCTGCTGCCGTTACTACAGGTCCCTCGACGATCTACACGAACACTACTCGCCGTAAATAGATCGGTTACGATATTACACCCCGCCTCGAATGTTCCGCAGTAAACCCGACCCTAATAGCTATCTCGACATCTGAAAAATCACAATCATCTAATAAATTATTAAATTTCACTTATCGCTAGCCTCTTTTCTGGGTCTTGGGTATCGTCTATTAATATTTCTTTGACATTAATCAGCATCACTCCCGTAGCGCCCCTCGTTCCTCGGCTGTACCTGTAGTATAGATGTCACGTTTGAACGGTGCCTACAGAGCTGTGCCTGTTGCAGGGGGGGCGAGGAAAACGGCGCAGGTCTAGCGGCGCACAGCTGCTTCGGTGTCGACTACGAGCTCTCGCTGATACTAAAAGAAATAAGAGTCATCACAGATCAAGTAATCGTCTTTAACCATTTGCTACAGTTAACGTTGCATTATCGAAGTAAAGGCGAACAATTAGCTTTTAAAAATATCTATTTTATTTATCATTCAATTGTTCACAGATGCGCAAAGATGACGAAGATGCGGACATTTCGCGCGACTGGAAATTCGCCGCCATGGTCGTGGACAGACTGTGCCTTATTATCTTTACCCTGTTCACAATCATCGCCACGCTAGCCGTGCTGCTGTCCGCGCCACACATCATGGTGTCGTAGCGACCCGCCCGCCTGCGGCTGCGCATGCGTAACGTTCTGTGATACCGCGAATACTTGTTAAGTTGTGATGTGCGAAATGGCGCGGGCGCCGACGCCGCGGCGCGGGAGTTGCCGCCGCCTGCCTCGCCGCCTGCGCCCCCTGTAGATATAAGTTACCGCTGACTGCCATCCCTCCGCGCTCAACCGAATACTATCTATCCGACTGATATCCTTACCTCTGCTCACGGCTCTTTATCTAATTCTTCCGAGAAATAAGACGAAAGGTCGTCACACTCGAGGGACAAACGCAGCGATTTATCCCGAAGCTACTCACTCAAGTCTAGTCAGTAATTGTCCAACGCAAAAGTGTTTCGAAGCAAATGTTCCTGTGGAACTAAAGTAATAACTAACAAATCGGTGTGCAGTCGGTACGTACTGCCGCTCCCTGAGCCGGTGCGGGCAGCGCGCCCGTCGTCCTGCTTTTGGGGCCACGCTAGAATAGACATCGTTTCCAATGGCCACCAAACTCAAATATGGCCGTAATATAAAGATTTTAGCACAAAAACGTCTTCCTTCATACCGTTGAACGACCTGATTCGCATTTAAAATTTAAACTTTGTTAGAACTTTCTCGATACTTAAAATCTATTGTACAGTTTAGGGTTTGGGCAGAAACGCAAGCCCTTTGTTTCCTTCTTGTTCGATTCCGTGAATCGTGGTTATGATCCCCGACTTTATTTTCGGATGTATTTGTGTCATTAGCTAGTATAGATCTTTACAAACAATGTTGATTCAATTGGTACAGGTTGTGATACGCCTCGTTGTGAACGGGTCGATATTGTTATAAATGGTAAATATCCATGGCTATAGCTTAATAAAACGTTCGTTAAAAGTTGTAGTTAATCAAAGTATTATTTTGTAAAAGTCATACTGGGTCTTTCGGAACGACTTATACGAATAATTAAATTACATAATAATAATCAAGTTTGTACTTCTTTCCATACGGTTACAGTGATTCATAAGCTGATTAATATTAGCGATTATGTAAATTTTCTTCTTTATTGATGCTCAATAGATCTGGTGTACCTATGTATTAGAAGAGTTTAAGTAATTTGCTCTATCCTGACATTTGAATTGTATAAGTTTATTACCTTGTAATCTCAAAATCAACATCTCAAAATTATATGGTTTATAAAAAATCTAATAATAGGATTAAAATAACAGTACAGTGAAAGCAAATTCATTAACACCATTCGGAACCTGCTCGTCTATTGCATACCTGCTGACATAACAAATCCGTGTTAAACTCATTTCTTTTTATTTTCATAAACGCCATTCATTTGATTTATATTTTTTTTTACGAAAACATTGTTAGCCTCTTAGAAAGAAAACGTTTAGTCTTTAGAGCTAGTGCGTGGATACAAATACGGAAAATGTACCCCCGCAAAGCTCTGCCATGTTTTCCTTGTTCGAGGTTGTGTAGTTCAAAAGATAATTGTAGGCGGTCCTTTGGAAGTTGCGGAGCGACTATGATTATATTGTCAATGTTTTCAGATTTATCTATGTTTATTAATTTTTGTTCTGTCTAGTCTCATCAACCATACGATTGAGGTTGTGTGACGATCCGCTCGAGAGAGCCGCGCATCCATTGTTCCCTGGTACGTGAGGACCTACTCTCCTTATTGTTTCATTAAGATGCGTGGTGTCTGTTCGTCGCCAATGGGATGACCTGTTGTCTCCACGATTTGTTCAATTGTTAGGGTTAATACTCTGAATTGCATTTTGTTTATTAAATATAAACGAATGAAACAAATCGAATGTTTTATTTAATCCAATCCCTAACTATATGACTGAAGGAATTATGGCGAAATCATAGATTGAAGTACCATCTTACAAGTACTTTCGAAATAATTTATGTAGGTGAAGTTAGGGGACCATGACCCATATAAATTCTCGCAAAGTACAGGATAACCAAAGCCTGAAGACAATCGATGCTATCCCACGGGATAACCGCACATGCGCAGATAATTCACAACTGAAATTCAGTTTCCCGGGCGCAAGGTCTACATATGAAATTCAATATAAGTAATGATTATTAAGGTACAACCAACAGCTGATATCGGAGTTCAACGAAACATTGGCATTGTAAGATATCACTAATAATATCTATAAAACAACTGAGAGTTAGTATTACAAAATTAAAGAAGTAAAACCGATAAACTACTTTCAGTTTCATTTCAAAATAAAATGCAATTCCCGATTTATTGCTAGTGGTAATAATCAAAATATGGCACTCCTTGAATCGAGCTTTTCAATTTACTTAAACTAAGCGATGTGCAAGTGGGTGCAGGGTGGGTGTAGTGTGACCAACTATTATGCATTGAGTAAGACATTATACATCAAGTGGGGACTTTTTCTTTTAGAGAAAATTATCTTCTAATTCATATGACGATCATAATTCATTTCATTGAACCGATTTTTTTCAAAGAAGAAATTCTTAATTTCTCATATTATTTTGAAATATTCAGTAATGATGTCAATAAACACCAGGGTCGAAATAAGGCAGAGATAATAATATAACTGAATTAAGTGAGTCACCAACCACTCCTTCGTTACCCCAGTGCCTCTACACTTCAAAATCCGGCCCTGATAAACTCAATGACGAAAGGAGGAGTGGATTACTTATTAAAAAGGACAAAAACTGCTGGGATAACTTTCTAGATCAACATAGCTTCTTTTTGTCTGTTTGTTACCACTTCACGCTTATGCCGCTGAATCAATTTATTTAAATTTAGTACTTAAACTTAAATGTAAACATACTTAAACCACATAATATAATACAATACATTTTACCTTTAATTATTACATTTAGTAACTACAAATTTTGTTCGTTCTTGACTGCAATTCAATTCAAAGACCAAAACCGGACAACCGGGTGTAGGGTTCCGTAGTTGCCGGTAGTTACCACAATATATTTGAGTCGAGTCTTTATTTTCTATATCGGAAATTAGAAAAACCATTTAATATCAATCTATGTATCTCAACTAAAATACCTAAATCAAAGTGAAACTGCGACTCAAACTCAAAATGAATTCGATGTTATTATTTTAGTAAATACGAATGATAACCGCCAATTTTGTTTCGTTTCGGGGGACCGGTTGTGAAATCCTCATGGATACCCTACAGCCGGCTGCAAGGTTATGTCAGACTCTTACTAACTAGCCGATCTTTTCAAGTATTTAAATACTTTTTATGAAAACGTAACGTCAGCGCCACTTAGAAGCCGTTACCGTTGGTACTCGCGGTAGCGCTGTGGAACTAATGATATTTTATTGTGGTTTTAAAATAGTTTTTTTTTAGATTTAGGAACTAAGTAATTTTAAAGGACCTATTTAACGATATTCCACACTATGGGATAGATGATGAAAAAAAATCATTCCCAGGTTACATGTAGGGGAGCTACCATAAAAAAAATCAATATTTTATTATACCATTTTGTCGACATCATCGATATACATATCTCCACAAAATTACAGCTCACTAGTGCTAATAAACTCCAAGCAAAACCAGCGACGGACAGACGAAACTATAAGGGTTCCTTGTCAAGACTACGGAACCATGAAAATGAGGTCAAAAACTTTTTAACAAGAAAACCGACTTCACAAAAATAAAACCACTAAAAAGGTAAAAATAATATACATATTCTTAACTTATGTAGGAAGGCCAAAGGGAGGAAGGAAGATCTTCCTCCGAGCTGGGTGATGGTAGCTCGGAGGCCGCGGCCCGACTGATGTTGGTCGGGTCATATATATATGGAGTACTAAGCATCCGAATTTCACTTGCACGATGTAGGCTTCCACGTATTGATCGCAGCGTTGGTAGCGCCGTCTCTTGAGGAGGCGAGTGATTATTTTCTCCATCCGTTGGATATATGCTGGGTATATTTCCAACATATATATAACTGGATATAATATATCCAGGGCATATGTAGATACTATATACTATATCCAACTACAAGGCTGAAAATGAACTTATCTGGTCCACTTCTAGTGGCTGTCAAAATTCATAACAAATTACCTAAAACGTTAGTTGAGGAAAAGGTTGATAATATATTCATTGGAAAAATTAAAAAGCTACTATTAAGCAAATGTTATTACACGGTTAAGGAATTTTTTGAAGATAATAATTTAAAGTAATGATATTTACAATTTAAATTTTTACTATACCTGATATTTTATTTAATTTAACTTAATTTGTATATAATAAAATTGAATATAATATAACATGATATACTATAGAATACGACATAGATAATAAATCAAATAATATAATATTGTGCTAAAATGATTAAATAATGTAGATATTAATATATTTTTATTTGTTGGGTAAAAAAAATATCGTATGTGGCTGGTAAATTGTATACGTACTAATTAAATTACAATTAGTGAATGCGTCCTCTTCTCTATTTGCTGTGCCCTGTTCAGGGTCTACAATGATCAAAGCAATGTACCTACTAAGATCTAAGAAAACATTGTAGAACGCAATAAAGTATTGATTGATTGATGTCGCCGCCACATCTCTCCCCGCCGAGACCGGAGGTCGATAGTCTGTGTTTTCAGCAGTCAATGCATCAGAGCTTGCAAATGCCAGTGTGCTGCAGGATTCCCCAGTCTGCGGTGAGTCAAGCAGGTGGGGTGAAGGCGCGTCACCAGTGCTGCAGAGTTGCTCCAGCCAACGGTGTACTCACCAGACAAGTGGAGTGTGACGGTGGGTCCGAGCTGCTGGTGTGCAGGCCGGCTACGCCGGTGTCCTTGCAGCCGTCAAGTGAGGTACCGGTCGTGGGCTGCGAAGACCAGGTCGGGATGATGCCGTTGGCTGTTGCCGAAGGTCCAGGAAGCGTCGTTGAGAGCTGCGATGGGACCTTCTGGCTGATGCGGGCTTGCTCTGTGACTGCTGATGTTGCTTGACCTGATGAGGAAGGAGTATGAGGAATGATGGTTGGCGCTGCGATGGTTGAAGGTTGCTTCTTGCTGCTACTGTGGTCAGTCACCAATGTAGGAAGGTCAAAGGGGAAAATGTTCCTCCGAGCTGTGGGGTTGGTAGCTCGGGGGCCTCGGCCCGACTGATGTTGGTCGGGCATTGTATATATGGAGTGTTAGCATCCGAATTTCACTTGCGCGATGTAGGTTTCCATACGTATTGATCGCAGCGTCGGTAGCACCATCTCTTGAGGAGGCAAATGATTGTTTTCTCCATCCGTTGGATATATGCTGGACATATAGACGTCGGCGTCGCCTCTACACTTATATTACATTTAAAGTCAAATTTACATTTGGTGTCGGTGTCATGCCAACCTAAGCAGCAAAATGGTTCCGAACTTAGATCTATCAACATGCATGGCATCGAATCCAAATCTTATTTTGAAATTTTCTTTAGATATCAGTAAAGAATAAGCATTGTTCTTTTTTTTTGTGGTTTTGTTTTTGTAAAGTCGGTTTTTATTTTTGTTAAAGAGTTTTTACTTTCCACTTTTTACAAGCTTTGAGTAACATCAACTAAATTCTTATAAAAGGCTCGTTTAAATGATACCTCACAGGATATATTTATCTTTAAAAGTGATAAGAGGGGGGAGGAAAGAAAAACATCAGTCAAATTGAGAACCTCCTCCTTTTTGAAGACGGTTGAAAATGGCTCAGGCTCGCAGGGAAGAATCTCAGTCATGATTTAACCGGGTTATTTCATCCATTATCCATAATAAGGTAATACGAACCACAAACATTTTGGAGCTGGGAAATCCTTTGAGGGAGGTTATTTTATATTGCTTGTTATCACACTAATATCAAAAACATTGTGGAGGGAGAGAGAGAGAGACACCTTTTATTGACAACAGGTAACAACACTATTACAAACATACAAATGATGAAAACAATAAGTTAAACAACTGAAAATAAAACTATTGCCTCCATTGGTCAATTGCCTGCCTCAGCATAAGCCCGAGAACAAATTTTGAAAGCCCTGTTATCGTATCGTATCGTCAAAGTTTGTATGAAAACTATGGAGCGCCATACCGGACGTAGGAAGAAACTGGTTCCTTCCATACAAAATTTGACGATAAGGATACGATTACGGAGCTGTCAAAATTCATCATTGGACCCCATAATGCTGCCACAACACGTCACCAAACATGTCACAACAACGGTGCATGTGGCCGTAAATACCGGCAGTTCACACAGCCACCTTTCCGACTGGAGCTAGGAAGTCTTTTGAAGGAGGTGGTATTTGGCCACCCTACGCGGGTGCAGGGTTGCGGGCGAGGGCGAGCTGCGTGCGGCAGTGCGCGCCGCCATGTTGGGCGGGACGCGCGCCTGTCTGCTGCTCGCAGCCCTGCTCACAATCCTCTACTCAGGTACTTACCTACCGATAACAATTAAGTGTAGCCACCACTGTGCATGCTGATTTCATCGCAATATTTTAACGTCACGTTAAGTAATAATTCGCACAGGTCATAAAATTAACAAAATTTAATTTAATAATTATTTTTTCTATTTATTTCACGTTTAAAAAATATGTAGAATATAATATACAATTAAGATCCTTAAAAAATATAAATATAAAAAACTTATCCTGTAAAAAGTTTCTTCCAAAAAAATCGACATTACGATTAAAATTTACGTCATTTAAGAATACCACGCTTTCATTGCGAAACTATTAAATATGTTTTTCATAATGCACTTCTTTAAAAGTATTTTGACATATTCATAAGCATCCGTCACTTTATCTCGCGATTTCACTCTTATTGATCTGTCGTTGCCGCAGCATCAACCATCCTATATCTCAGTACATTGTAATATTTACTTAAGTTACCTTAAAGTAAATGATTTAGAAAAAGTTTAATCTCATAGAAGCATACCAGTTCATTTCAATATCATTTGCATAAGCTTTAAGTTAACTATGTTTGTTATTTAGGTATATCCAATTAAACAATTTTTGCCTTATCTAATAGCTTCATTTAACTAGAAATGAATTTGTATTTTTTTTTTAGTTCATTATAATTTTAGAGTTATATTTAACACTAAAATTATGTAATTGACAAATTGAACACACGCAATCAATTAGATAAAGTAATATTTCAACAGCAATAACGTGTTACTAAATTAAAAATGAATAATTAGTGAATTAAACAAGCATTTGATTATTTCTTTTTATATTAGCCCAAAACAAACCATTATGTAGTCATTAAAGACTTTAACAATATTATAATTAAAAAAAACTATCGTATAGTTATGTACAGAATTGGAAAGTCAGTTTTGATCCATGATAAATTATTACCAAAATATGTGTTTCTTTTAATAATTTTATGTCTTTAATTTGTTATGTATGCCATGATCTCTGACGAAAGATAAAATCACAAAGGAAAAACGAGCCTAACATAACCTACCACTCGTGCCCAAATGCGAATTCGAGTGTGCTTACCACAACGACTTAGCTCTCAAAGCAACAAACGATTGTAACTATATATTTATATCCTTAATGATGTAATGGAATGTGATTTCAGACGTATAAAACTCCTCTCGTTCGTCAAACATAATAAATCTTCGCGTCTTTAATAGCCTACGCAGGCAGAGAGCTTTTGTGCGCGGAGGACTTTCGTCCCTTGTAATACATCGCTTACAACTGCATCGAGTAACGCACACGGCAGACAAAGATCCCCCGAACTACCGCGGACACCGAAGGCCAAAATTATGCGAGGGTCCGCGATAAAAAGTTAACATATTTTGTGTCAAGAGACGGCAACGCACACGGCGGACTTTAGTCCGCGATGTGTGCTCGATAGTGATGTACGTGGTAAAGAAGTGGAAAAAAGAACTCGTTTGTATTTCACATCAAAAAAGAGTATCATCACCGAAAGGACAATGGCGAAATTTTTGTTGAAATAATTCTTTAGCATCCAGGTATAGATTTCATTTATCAAAAATGTTAAATAAAATAATCTTAACGGTTAAATCAAAAAATTAAGTCTGGAACTAAAAACGTCATGTCTTTTTAGCTTTTTTTTTTGTATTTTAAGTGATTTCAGTGATTAATTCAACTTCAAGTATGTTGTCCGTATGTTTTACGCCGCTTTACACTTAAACTATATTTAATTATCTTTGAGAAAGATCGTGAAATATTGTATAATTCAATATTAATAAACTCAACAATACAAATAAATACTCAATCCGATATAATAGACCGGGATCAACCAGTGTTCCGCTTTTAGAACGTCTGCTCTTTTTCTTTAACTTCATGTTAATTACAATACAACGTTATCACAGAATAATGCTTCGATAGTGTGCGCCTCAATAAGTTTTCGGGGGACAAAATGACCGCATATCGTGTGCGTTGAGTCCGTGACACGTCCTGGGCTGACAATTTTTTCATAAAACGGATACTAAAGTCATCCGCAGACAAAAACCCGTCGTCTGCGCAGCCTTTAAACAATCGTCTGTGCCATCAAGCTTTTCAAATTACAATTAGTATTCATTTTACTTGCATTCATTCATAAAATGATACTACCTACTTTAGCAATAGTTATTGAAAGCCGCACTTAGTCCACTTTATTTCATCCAATTATTTATAAGAGCTGCTAATTATAAAAAATAAATAAAATCTCTGAACCGTTTAGTTTATGAAATGATATTGGAATAAAGTTCCTTTTGGGACGATACGAACTTGGCGGATGGGAGCTAGCCGAAAAATGTTTAAGATTTTCCGCCACAACCGTCAGTTGTTTCTTAGCATATTCTGTGTAGTTGTGTCCTATACTTAAGTTTATTTTCAACCTCGATCCAACCGAATGTTCCACGATTCTCACGTTTGTTTTATTTTACTTATATCATAATTGTTTATCTTATGTATAATTTTAACGCATTATTTGATTTGCTAAGTTCAAAATTAAAACAGATCACTAGATTTGGGAAGAGCACACACATTTCAAATAAATCATGACATCATTATCAACCTGTCCCCACTGCACCGGCCTTCCCTATGGATGAAAAAGAGAGATTAGGATTAGGCGTGGTGGGTACCACGCGAACCCAGTACTGATTGGTGGGTGGCTAATGCAGCCGGTACTAACAACTTAACGTGCTTTCGGAAGCACGGAGGAGCTCGAGTTAGAAAATTTTGGTCACCTATCCAATGACCGTCCCCTGCGAAAGTTGTTTCACTTCAATGATCGCAGCTGAACGCGCTAACCACTTACGCCATCGGGCTCCTCAATAATTCATATATTTATACACAAACTAGCTGTGCCTCGCGGTTTTACCCGCGTTTTATTAGGGATATTTTCCCGCAGTAAAACGAATCCTATGTGTTAATCCAGGGTATCAGCTAACTCCATACCAAATTTTATTAAAATCCCTTTAGACGTGAAGAAGTAACAAACATACTCACAAACTTTCGCCTTTATAATATTAGTTGAATACTTCGTTTACCTTAATAGGTAGGCAAGGCGTGAGTGATATTCTTGTATAGCAAGCGTCTATACTATCGACTACACTATTAGCTTGTAATATTTAGTATTAATATGTATATGATTGATTTCTATTTCGTTTTTTTTTTTATTTATGTTAATTTTTCACTAAGCAGTATCTGTTTGTGACTCCAGGATGGTGTTCAGAGGACGAGGAGCGACTGGTCCGAGACCTGTTCCGTGGGTACAACAAGCTGATCCGGCCGGTGCAAAACATGACCCAGAAGGTCGACGTCCGCTTCGGTCTAGCTTTCGTCCAACTCATCAACGTTGTACGTGACTATTAAAAGCATTTTTTATGTATGTACGCTGGCAAACAAGCAGTCCACCTAATGGTATGTGGTCACTGCCTCCCATGGACACTTGCAGCACCAAGGGTACCACTGATGTGTTTCCGGCTCTGAAGAAAAAGGTTTAGCCGTCTTTTTAAAGACCGCCATATCATAGCAAAATGGGAAACCCGCTTAGGGAAATTCGTTCCAGATCTTGCGGGTACGCAAAAGAATGGAGCGCTCGTAACTCTGAATGACATTCAAGTGTTAATAAATAAGGCCCACTTGCACCAGAAACAGGCGTTTAGTTTAAGTACTTAAACCATCCATCAGACGAGAGAATCAATGAAGAAATTGGTTTATTTCGTATGCTTATCAGCTGCTAGGGCACAGGCCTTCCCTATGAATGGTTTAAGAAGAATCAGCCATGTCCAAACATGGCCTAGTTTATATTCGTGGATGCTACCTATTGCAGATGCAGCCTCTACTAACTGAAGATCGGAGGAACTAAAGATAAATAATTTTTGGCCCGTCCAATATGACCGGCCATTTAAAATGTTGGCCACCTTTCAGGATCACAGATTGAACGTGCAGTTTGGTCTGCGATCATCCGAACCTTTGAGCTCCTTGCTCGAGAGTTATTGTTTCGTAATATGATTTCTTTAAAATAAAGAGGTTGTCAACATTGTTATATTTTTCATTTACAGAACGAAAAGAATCAGATTATGAAATCAAACGTGTGGCTTCGGTTAGTTTGGATGGACTACCAGCTCATGTGGGATGAAGCAGACTACGGTGGGATCGGGGTGCTGCGTCTTCCCCCCGACAAAGTCTGGAAGCCCGACATTGTACTCTTCAACAAGTTAGTCTCTTTTCATCTGTTTATAAGAAAAAATAGAATATTTGCCGGTTGCTTCTGTCTGCCAATGTCTGTCTGCCTGTCTTTCTATTAAAACTATAAAAAATTAAGGTAAATCAAAGCATCATCGAATCGAATTATTGTAGCTATAGTATATTTTAAAAACTTGAATATTATACAAACGTAGAACTCTTAGCGCGTTTAGCCACTTTCGAGTTCCATTGGTCATCGCAGTTATCTGTCCAATGAACGATAAAGTAAAATCGGTTGCGGCCATGTTACGACAATTTTGAAAATTCCTGACGATTCTCTTTGCTCAATTTTTTTAGAACTGTTTTTTATTCTTAATCTTAAAATACCTGTTAAAATTGCTCAGTCAGTACTTTTAATATTATTGCAACTTATTTACCATCTGACTTCATTTGTTTCAGCGCTGATGGTAACTACGAAGTTCGATACAAGTCCAACGTTTTAATATACCCTAACGGAGAAGTTTTGTGGGTTCCACCAGCCATTTACCAGGTAATAAAAATATGAAACGCAAAAATATCCACAATAAATAATATATTTACCAATTTAAGACCTTGTAGATAAAAAAAACCCTTTAAACATTGGGTAAATCTTCTGTCATTTCCAGAGCTCCTGTACAATTGACGTGACCTACTTCCCGTTCGACCAACAAACTTGTATCATGAAATTTGGCTCGTGGACATTCAATGGTGACCAGGTGTCACTCGCCTTGTACAACAATAAGAACTTCGTCGATTTATCTGACTACTGGAAATCCGGCACGTGGGACATCATTGAAGTGCCGGCCTACTTGAACATTTACGAAGGAAGCCATCCCACGGAAACTGATATTACCTTCTACATCATCATTAGAAGAAAAACTCTGTTCTACACCGTCAATTTGATCTTGCCCACTGTCCTGATCTCCTTCCTTTGCGTGCTTGTCTTCTATTTGCCAGCCGAAGCGGGCGAAAAAGTAAGAAACGCAAAATTTTATTTACTACGCAACCTGTTTAGTGTACTATTTTGACCATGATAAAGTAAATACATAATGCAATAACAATATGACATAGAGCAACGCGGCCGACGTGGCCAGGAGCGTCGGTTGTGTTGCTCTATGGAATATGACGATGTAAAAAAAGTTTGTGGCAAGGTTTAGAATAGTATTCAAATGCCTAGTTTCTTATGAACAAACAACCTTAAATTTTCTGCCTAAAGAAAAAAAATACTGTAAAACAATTAACTCACTCCATGTATTAAATACCTACAGGGATTAATTTACATGTAATTACTTTCTTGTAATCATAATCCAAATTTGATATATTAAAATTGCCACAATCAAACTTTATATTTACCTTTCGGTCCTGTCTCTGTCTAAAATCACCAAAAAAATTTGTTAAAAAAAAAGAAAAGGAAAATTAAAGTAATTTTCTTTCAGGTAACCTTGGGTATCAGCATTTTACTGTCACTGGTTGTGTTCCTACTGCTGGTATCGAAGATTCTGCCGCCGACCTCACTTGTGCTGCCGCTCATCGCTAAGTATTTGCTGTTTACTTTCATCATGAACACCGTCAGTATCCTTGTGACAGTGATCATTATCAACTGGAACTTCAGAGGCCCGAGGACGCATAGGTAAGCAAATAATTTAGGGCAAACTATCTTGTTGACAGTTCATTTTCGACTGCAATAGTTCTAGCGTATCCATGATAGTAGGTCGCCATGCGAAGTCATGTAACAAATTGATATTAGGTCTTTACCAATGAAATTTTGACAACGTAGTGGTAGATTACGTATAGATGCCCTTTTTGAAAAAGTCTGCTGGACGGGGAGGCAACAAATTCTTCAATAGGCATTTTGAACTGCCTCTAGTTTATTTAATTTTTTCCCCGCTAAGAAGTTATCTCAAATTCTGGAAGAATTAGAACTCTGTAGGGGCAAGGTCTGGTGTGTACGGTGGTTGGCGGAGAACTTCTAACCCCAGCTCTTGTAACTTGGAGACCGTCTGCTGTGCAGTATGAGGTCGCACCTGGTCGTGCAGGAGCAGCAGAGCCGAACGATTGACCAAAGCTGGTTGGAGATGTTCTTGCTTCTCCATCGTTGTGTTCAGTTCTTCACAGTACACATCTGCAGTAATGCTCATCCCATTTGGTAAGAAGTTATAATGAATGACACCGGCGCTAGACCACCAAACAGTGACTATCACTTTTTTAGGGGTCAGTTTTCTTTCGGGCATTGTTTAGGTGCTGAACCTGGATCTCTCTACCCAACTTACTGAGCGCTTGCGATTATCGACTCGAGTTGGGAAAACTTTTTGTCTAGCATATCTTGAAATTGACTGTGCTCCTGAGGACTACTCCGTTTTTTTTATTGGAGTGTTAGTGTTATCGCTTCGTTTTCGTGAAACTTAACATTCTGGACATTTCCATCAGTTATTATTTTACATTTAGTTATGTTGACATAGGCATAGTGATAGACATTAGAACAGGCCGTGCATGAGATCTTCTCAGTGTTGATTATGTTAAGGCGACATCCATCACACAGGTTCCTGATAAACAATCTTTTGTATCCTTCCTTAGTAAAACATATAACACCTTTAGGCAAAAAGTATTTCACTAGCAACACTAGAATCTACCAACAAGAAAATTGTTAATGTCAATTGAAAATGCACGGTACCAAACTCAAATATTATCACTAAAGTAGCCTAAATCCAGTTAACATACCTATTGGGTTTATTCCACAGAATGCCGTTATGGATACGCAGCGTGTTCTTGCACTACTTGCCAGCGGCGCTGCTGATGCAACGACCACGGAAGACCCGCCTCCGCTGGATGATGGAGATGCCAGGCATGGGCGCACCGCCCCACTCCGCTGCGCCGGCCTCACACGACCTGCCCAAGCATATAAGGTAATAATTTTACCTGCACCTACACCACGTATTCTTGCAAGACTTGCCAGTAGCGCTGCTGATGCAGCGTCCGCGGAGGTCCCGCCTCCACTGGATGATGGAGATGCCGGACATGGGCGCCTCGCCCCACTCCGCTGCACCGGCTCCACTCGACTATTGTTGCCGTTTAGGATTTTTTTTTTTATAGATAGGTCCGACAAATGACGTGAATGAATGACTTTGTACGCGTTGGAATTGTAGCCACAGTTAGACGGTGACAACGTAAGCCAGCGCGCGTGGTCCTCTGAAGGAAAGGGGAAGGTGGAATAAAAGAGAATAACTCCTCAGAACACTCGCCGTGGTACAGACGATAGTACGCTCTTAGTGACGCCACGTCACGGCTCAAGGTGTTTAGTCACCTCCTCATCGCCTATGATGCGTATTGCGCGCCGCTGTAACCTATCCAAAGCATCGAGCAAGTACTTGGCGGAGCCATCCCAGAGGTGCGAGCAATATTCCACGCAAGACCGAAGCTGCGTCTTATGTAACAAGCATAGTTGCTCGGGCGTGAAAAAACGCCGCACCTTGTTCAGGACTCCGAGTTTGCGTGAGGCTATTTTTATCACACTTTCGATGTAATTTTTTGGATTTAAGTCACAGCGAATCTCCATACCGAGCATGGTGATACTGCTCTCTAGCTCCAGTGTTGTGCCCCGAAGAGAAGGACATAAAAGGAATGGCGACGTTTTTGCCGTGAAAGCGCAGACCTGGGTTTTCTTAGCATTGAACCCGACCAAGTTCTTGGTACCCCATTCAGAAATGTGGTCCAAAGCCTGATTGAGTTCAATGACAAGATTCTCCCGTTTCTCCTTGGTTACCGCCTGCCCAGCCGCTGCTTGTCCGAGATACCCCGCATGCACTGTACTGTCGTCTGCATAGCAATGAATATTCCCAAGAGGAATTAGGTCATTCATATGCAGCAGAAAGAGAGTGGGGGATAGGACGGAGCCCTGGGGAACGCCGGCATTCACTGACATGAACCGCGAACTGCTACCATCCGTAAGGAGACGAATTCTACGCTCATGCAGGAAGTCAGCTACCCAAGAACAGAACTGGGCCGGCAGACCGTATGCCGGAAGCTTGGAGAGAAGGCTTTTGTGCCAGACCCTGTCGAATGCCTTGGCAATGTCTAGGCTGATAACCAACGACTCGCCCCGCTTGTCGATAGCCTCACCCCAGATATGAGTCAAGTACGCTAGAAGATCACCCGTCGATCGTTTCGGTCTAAAACCATATTGACGATCATTAATCAGGGAGTGATCCTCTAGGTAGCGGGTCAGATGGTTGTTAAGGACCTTTTCTAGGACTTTACATTGTAGCAGCACACAATAATAACACAACACAGAAGTTAATCCTTTTATTCAAATGACGAAACACCGTCCAGGAAATAGTGATGCTGAATAATTCTTTGATTACATAGCTCTGAAAAGAGCTTTCGTGCGAAACAACGTTTCACTCTCGGCTATCACTGCAGCTTCACGATCACCGCATCTCTTCAAGCAGTCGCCGCGGCACGCGGCACGCCGCCCGCTCTCGGCGCATCGAAGAGGACTCCACACGTCTGCACCGTAGGTGTCGCCCGACGAAATGGACGAGTGCCGCCGCGGACGGCGGTTTTGTCGAGCGACGCGCACGCTTCCCCGCGCGCCGCATTCCTCGCGCCGGGTGCGAGCGAAAGGCGCAAACCTACCTCTCCCGCTCGCACATCACTCATATAAATTATTATGAAACTACCCAATTATCATCGATTAAATAATGTAAAATTTTATATAAATATAACATGATTTCCAAAATAAAAACATTCCTTATCTGACTATCAAAGAGTTTAATTTACTGAAACCTACAATCGCTAAAACATAATACTGAGGTGACTGCTATTGGCCGGTAGTTTGCCGGGTCTGAGCGATCCCCTTTTTGGGTATCGGTTGCACGTTAGCATCTCTCCAAGTCTCCGGCACACGCCCCAAGGAATACGAGCACTGGTACAAACGCGTGAGCACGGGAGACAACTCCGCTGCACATTTTTTCAATACTACTGCTGGGATGCCATCAGGTCCACTAGCTTTCCGGACGTCGAGTGATTGCAATTCGGCACGAACCTCACGCTGCCTGATTTTGATATCAGGCATCGTTGTGCCACAATGAGGTAATAATGGTGGCAGTGCATTGCAATCATCAATTCGGGAGTTAGCCGCAAAGAGTTTTGCCAGTAAATCGGCTTTCTCCTGCGGCTTATGAGCTAGTGTTCCGTCTGGACATCTCAGAGGTGGCAGCAAGGGCTGGCAGAAGTTCTTTTGCACGGCCTTGGCCAAACGCCAATAGCTTCGGGAGCCCGTAGGATGCGTTATAAGTTCGTGACCAACACGTGCAACGCGCTGGGCATCCGCTCTGATGTATGCCTTCTTACAGGCCTTGAAAGCAATATTGTAGGCTGCTTTTAGTGAATCGACCCCGGGATCCTTAGGAGCGCGACCTCTGATCCAAGCACGATATGCCGCTTGCTTACGCGAAGCAGCTTCAGCACAGTCGTGATTGAACCAGAGGTTACGTGTGCCCTTACTGATGAGATTGGAATGAGGAATATAGTATTTCATACCCATTACAATCTCCTCAGTAATAGCAACGGCGCTGGCCGATAGGTCCTTGTCACTGAAGCAGCGCTGCTTCCACGGGACAGACGCAAAATAGTCACGCATACCGTCCCAATCTGCCGATCCATAGTGCCAGATCCGGCGTTTTACCACCGTTGGACGCGGAGGTTTGGCCTGTGGCGCTTTGGCAGATATCAGGCAGTGATTTGAAGAGCCCAGGGGGGCTCCTACCACAACCTGATAGCCCTGTGGATGGGTCGTGAGCAGAAGGTCCAGCAATGAAGGCGCTTGACTTGAAATATCTGGAATCCTGGTGGGCTGATCGACCAGTTGCTTTAAGTCATGCGTGAGAGCGAACGCGTGAGCAGAGATCCCTGCATGGTCAGTTTTCGAGGAACTTAACCACAAATTGTGGTGAGCATTAAAGTCCCCCAAAAACACCAATTCTGCATTGGGAAATTGCTCCTGCGCGTCATCTGCTGCCCGACTAAGATGTTCGAAAAGTCGAGTTGTCTCAACATCGCCAGTGTGGGATCTGTAGAGGCACACGTAGACTCTGGCCTGGGGACCTGAGTCGACGTGTACCCCCAATATGGAGAAGGAGGGATCTTCCAAGCAGCGGAGACGGCGACAACAAACATCCGCCAGAACATACAGGCATACACCGGCTTTCGCTTTGAAGGACTCTTCAAGCACGTAGCCGGGATAGTTAAGGTAGCCTGTGTCAGCAGGCGGAAGTATTTGTGTCTCCGTCAGGAACAACAATGCTGGCCGTGCTGTCTCAAGGTGGTGGTGGACAGCATTGAGGTTAGAGTAGAGTCCGCGTATGTTGCAGAACTCGACCTCAAACAGCGTTGAAGGCGCGGGGGTGTGCACCGCTGTACGTCCAAACTTTGTTTTAAGAGCTGCTGCCATTATGGAAGTAAAAAAAAGAGACGTGAAACGAGTAGACTTTGTCGCGACAAGACCGGGCAAATTAGGGAGGCATGTTTCCCCGAATGATTGCAGAGGATATACGCCGACCCGCCGGACGGAAGGGCCCCCGCACCCCCCCGGAAGTGGCCGCCGGGACCCCACGTCCCGGTCACCAACCGGTACGACGGTCCACCCCGAGATTATGCGTGACATGATAGGGCAGCCTCGCGAACTGGTTAGGAACGCTCGGGCCCCTGTACTGTGCCACGGGCGGCCAGCGGGACAGCCGTTTCTACGGGTCTCCCTGGCCGGCGGGTCGATGCAGTCCTCCCGGCATCGGTTCGACGGATGCCTCGCCCTGGACCGAATCCGTCGCGACAACCTCCACTTGTACGCTGGCTGACCCCGAAACGCGCGAGAAGCACTTCACGGGTTTTTCACCATGCGCACGGTGGTAACAAACCAGGCGGGTGTTAGGCACCCTACCACCAGAGGAGCGGATGGAAGCTCCGATATCCCTTAGTCGCCTCTTACGACACCCACGGGAAGAGAAGGGGCGGTGAGTTGTATTCTTTCTCCGTCACCGCACGGATAAAAAAATAAAAAAGAAAATTTCGAAAGTCCTGACAAAAACCCTGACATATCGAAAAAAGTCCGGACTTTTTAGGCACAGAATGGTACCATTAATTAATTAGTTACATGGTATGGTATTTATATCATTATTTACTTTTATTTATCCTATTAAGTCCGGACAGTTTAAAGATCCGGACAACGTCCGGACTAACGTCTAAAAGTCCGGACATGTCCGGACTAATCCTGACGGATGGTAACCCTACACACGACCGACCCAAATATGTAAGTTGTAGATCTTTTGATTACTAATAATTTTGACATATACTTTTATTTCGAAAGAAGTTGTAATTTTCTCGTAAATCGCGATAAACTGTTTCCCATGGGCGTACCCAGGTAGGGGCAGGGGGGGGGGCAGCTGCCCCCCCTCTAGAAGATAAAATAAACGTCAATTTTCCTGGCAAGTGGGAATTAAAAACGTGTTACCTACTCTGCGCAATATGAAGTGTTGGAAACAAAACATCTTTTCAATCAGATATTTTGATTTTTTTTTATCTATAATTAAATATTCTACAACATTCGATATAATAGCGACGCAATATAATTTATATCTCCCGCGAAACCGTCGTATCTCATAGTTTCCGCTCTCGACGAGATAATCAGAGCCATCTAGGATTAAAGCCGAATATAATTTGGAGAAAACAACGTCTAGCGCTAGCGCTATCTAGTTACAGACGACGACACTCGACAGTGCTTTTTCCAGTAAAGAAGAACGTTCTAGCATGGACTATTCTGGAAAGTAAAGACAGTGATAGCAAGTATGAGACAAGGATGGCAACAGAGTCGAGTATTTTCTACGTATTTCGGGAGCGAGAATATTTGAATATATAAGCGCGATCGTGAGGCAAAGCAAGGCAATTCAGTTCGAAATTTCGAATACAATTCAATTTAGTTCGGAGTTTAATACGAGCGAATATTTAATGCGCCATAAAAGAGTCTTATAGTTTAGTTGCGGCGACACGAGATTTACGTTTACTGCGCAACAACTGGAAAGATTTACTCCGTCAAATGGATATCAAGAATTTCTTTGAAAAAGGTGAGTCAAAACAAAACACATATGTATGTACCTAATATGATTATTTGATTTGTTTAAGGGGGGCTCTCTTGTAAGTGTATAGGAAGTAATTGATATTTGAATGTGATGTTTTTATAGGTATCTTAATCTTTATTTATTACTACGTTTTTATTAGGTCCGTTTCTTGTCTGTTCGGTACAAATCTGGCAATTGATTTTAAACTAACTTCCCGATCTCCGGATGAGCTAGAGACTTGAAATTTTGACTGTAGGCCAGAAGTGGATGACAATACAATATTAGATTGTTTTCTTGTCTATTTGTCTGTTCGGTACAAATCTTTCAATTGATTTTAAACTAACTTCCCGATGAGCTAGAGACTTGAAATTTTGACTGTAGGTCAGAAGTGGATGACAATACAATATTAGATTATTTTCTTGTCTGTCTGTTTGTTTGTTTGAAAGTTTAAAAAAATACACATTTAAAAAAAACAGCTTTTTTTTTATATACTTACCACGTTTTTAAAACGGACTAAAAAGTATAAGGAAAAACGTGGGGTGCAAGAAAAAAAATAAGATAGGTAACGATAAAAAGTGTAAAAAGTACCAGTCGTTGAGAAATCTCATGTTAGAAGAGCTTTCTCATTGACTGCTACTTTTTATGCTTAATTATAATTTAAAATGCTTAGATCAATTTATACGGCATTAGAAAATATTATTTTATACTGGTAAGTCCGCTTTAAAAACGTGGTACATAATTTTTTTTTCGTTCTATGCCTAAACACCGTAAGAGTAATTATGTTTGTGTATCCTTTTTTTAGGGAAAACACGGGAAAAAAGAAAAAAGGTCGGGATAATAACAGTGGAGGAAGCGATGAAAATGACAACCTGTTGCCGATTATTCTTCTCCATCGACATCCCAGTAAACTTATGACGTCAACGTCGATCCTGAAATTATAGTGGACGATGGCTATCATGAAAATGATTTTGAAAGTGATGCAAGCCATTTGAAAAGGAAATTAAATAATGCTTGGTTGGATCAATATGCACCATGGCTAGTATATTCCAAGCGACTAAAAGGCGCTCTTTGTAAGCATTGTGTTTTGTTCCCTCCGCCCATCAGCACTCTGAGAGGAATTTTGGGATCAGTTATGGTCAGGCCATATATAAAGTTCAAAAATATGCATGAAGACTGCCGAAAGCATGCAACGACCAACCTTCACTTAAAAGCGACAAATGCTGCAAAAAATTATCTTGAAAATGTTCCTGTAGACATCCAACTGCAAAGTGGACACCAAAAAGCAATCGATGAAAACAGACAAATATTGTCATCAATTATTTCTTGTGTAGTATTTTGCGGTACACATGATATGCCTCTTAGGGGAAAACAAGCAGATGAGGGCGTTTTATTAGATTTATTAAAGTTGAGAATCAATTCAGGGGACGACAAATTAAAGAGTCACCTGGAAAAGTGCCGTCGCAATGCAGTTTACACATCGTCAAAAATACAAAACGAATTGATTAATTTATGTGGCGAAGTTATTAAGGAGAATATAATAAGTGAGGAGGATAAACAGCAGACGTAGCTGGCAAAGAACAGCTATCAATAGGCGTGCGGTTCTATGACGAAAGCAAAAGGAAAATCAGAGAAGAATTTGTAGGATTCGTTGAACTAAAAGCACAAAATGCTTTAGCAATTGCCGAAGCAATTGACAATTTATTGATTAGTTCTAACCTCCCAACAGAAGATTGCGTAGGGTTTGGATTCGATGGCTGTTCTACAATGGCAGGGAAAGAGGGTGGCGTACAAGCCATTTTGAGAAAAAAATATCCTCGTGCTTTATATTTTCATTGCTCAAGTCACAAACTCAACCTTGTTGTGAATGATGCGAACGCAGTGCCAGAAATTAGAAATACTGTCGCCACTGTTAAGCATGTTATAACGTTTTTCAGAGAATCGACTACTCGTCGAAACTACGCTCCAAACCTATCACGATTGTGTGAGACGAGATGGTCCGAAAAATATAAATCAATCAGAAAGTTTTCTCAACATTTTCCAGAGCTTGTGAAATCTCTAGAAACGTTATCCGTAGAGGGAATTTATGCCACCAGAAAATCTGCATATCAGTTGCATTCAGCCGTTACAAAACCAGTGTTTATTGTTGCTCTACAAACAATAGCCAAATATTCAGCAGTTTTAGAACCAGTAGTTAACGCACTTCAAGCTAAATCGATCGACATGATCTCGGTGGGGGAACACATCAAAAATATCAAGGACATTCTCAGAAATAACCGCGAATTTCCTGATAAAATAAGTAATGAAATGCTTCAAAAAGCGCGAGCTGTTGCAATGGGTTTGAACATAGAAATTTCGGTTCCACGTCTTGCTCATAAGCAAACCCATAGAAGTAATCCGCCATCTGACAATGATAACGAATATTGGCGGCGTTCTCTGATAATACCATACATTGATTCACTCATTTTATCGTTGAATATTCGATTCTCCCAAGAAAATACTCCGGCGTTTGCTTTAAGTAAGCTACATCCCTTGTATATGACCAAAACCAACATTACAGACTTACACAAGAACGCAGAATCATTCCAAGAATTTTATAACCTGGATATCACTGGAGAACTGAACCTTTGGCATAATTTATGGATGAAGAATGCTTTATCAGATGATCAATTAAGGGATATAGAAGTAGTTCAACGAAGCCAATATTTTTTACCCTGCTGTCAGAAAGGCATTGATTATTTTAAGCACTATCCCATGCACCACGGCGACCATAGAACGGTCCTTCAGTACGCTTCGAAGAGTTAAAACGTGGCCTAGAAGCACCATGGGTGAAGAAAGGCTTACGGGTTTATGTCTGATGAGCGTACATCGCAATTATTTAAAAGAAAACAGTGAGTTTATTCAAAAGACTGTCTTAGACAAATTTTCGGCGGCAAATCCGAGAAGATTACTTTTAAATTAATATATGTGTATTATGATTATTATATATATTTAATATTTTGTTTTGTGTCATAATCAAACTAATTAATAAAAGTCAATTTTCATGATTTTTTGTTTCAATATACCCCCCCCCCCCTAGCTGAAATCCTGGGTACGCCCTTGCTGTTTCCCCCCTTAAAAAGTCACCCCCTACCCTTCCCGTTGTATTTCCTCTTTTTTAATATGTTATCCCTTCATTTTCGAATGGCTTTCATCCTGTTCCTCTCATCCTGTTTGCTCTGAAAAATTATCGGCTATTATAAAACCTGTATACATAATTTGTAGCAATAGGTTGTTTATATTTTGACTTTTGATTTTTCCCAATTTTTACGTGTTATTTGTATTAATACTAGTAATAGTATACTATAATAAAAAAAATCTATTCGATGCCGCACGATGCAAGCTTTTGTTTTCCAACATCAGCCCTATTTTAGTCTATATTTTCCTTATGAAATAACAATATCCTGGTATATAATTTTAGTGCCATCGGCGCAAAGCAGAGCAAAATGGAGGCAATGGAACTGTCGGACCTTCATCACCATCCGAACTGCAAAATCAATCGCGCAGCTGGTGGTGGGGAGATGGGAGCTTTGGGCGGCCTGGGTAGTGCCCTGGGCGGCCTCGGCCTCGGAGGAGAGAGGCGAGAATCGGAGAGCTCCGATTCCCTCCTGCTATCACCCGAAGCAGCGAAAGCTACAGAAGCAGTCGAATTTATTGCGGAGCATTTGCGAAATGAGGACCTTTACATCCAGGTAAAACTATTAATGGCAAGAAATAGATATAATTCATAAAAACAGACCATAAATCGACTTATTCTATATTTACAGCTTTTCTACTTTCATTTTCGATAAGCAACAATTTAAACAGCGCTTTTACCTTTCCCGAAACGAAATTTTATGATTGTGCTGAGGAGAACTTAGAGCATTGATATATGCTCTAAGAAGAAGTACAATTATAGAGCTCTCTTGTTCAAAACTCACTTACTCACTGAGACCTTTGATATGATTTAAATTATATGTTTTCACAGACGGGTGAGCCATATTCCATTTCTTAATCGTCCAATTAACATTATTAATATCGTTGCAGACTCGCGAAGACTGGAAGTATGTCGCCATGGTGATCGACAGGCTACAGCTGTACATCTTCTTCATAGTCACCACAGCAGGCACAGTTGGTATCCTGATGGATGCCCCCCACATCTTCGAATATGTGGACCAGGACCGAATCATCGAAATTTACAGAGGAAAATAAACCCAATTCCTCGCTCTACAAGGACTAAAATAAATTACCTAAATGGCTTCCATTTCTTGTCGCGAATTATAATGCTCTTTATTATTTATACCTATAGGTAGGCTTAGATACAAGCCTATGATTATTATATTGGATACAGTGTATGGAAACACGGATTTGAAAATATTTTCTTATTCTTGCTCATTGTTATTATTTGCGAGTTACAACATAGGAAATATTATAAATAAGGAATAAAATTAGATTAATAAAAAAATACTAACATGGCTGTGGTCGAAAAATTAAAGCACAATAGTTACTGATCCATAAGTTGTAAGTTTGTATTTTAACACGTTACTCATACATCATTATGTAGCTATTAAATGTAAATAGTTTGCCTATAAGGTGTTCAATGAGATGTCCCAAACCACATAAAAAAATAACAGGCGCCTCGGTAGTTTTGTTCCGTCTGTCGTGGAAAGAACAAAGCTGTGTTTTACTGTGTTAAACATATAATCGATACAAATGAACTCTTCGATTTCGATCGATCGATATGTTTAGGCAAAGTGTGGTCATTGCCATTTGCCATCAAGCAAGCCACTATATGCTTGTAGTACAGTCAATCTGTAGGTTGAGTGGTGAAAAAAAAACCTAAAGGGTAAGGCTTGTTTTTTCTGTTGCCAAATAATGTCAGTAAGCCACCTTGGCGATGGGCATGTTCAACTCGTAGGCGTTTTTTGAAAAACTCAATAAAACCGTCAAAATTTTTTTGAAACGCATTTTTCTTGTTTTGTATGCATTTTAGAAGCTTTTTTTTTTCGACCATAATTGTAGAGGGCGTTGAGTACTACAATTTATGTCCTTGTTGCAATCTCGTACAACAAAAAATGCGCATTGTAGGTGGCGCTAAAGTCTCAAAAAAAGTGTTTTTTCACTTTTTCACCCTGAAAATATCATTTTAATGGAAAACTTTAAATGGCTAAGTTGTTTCGTACATAATTACCAACAACTTTTGTATAAACATTTTTTTTGTATTACTTACCGTTTTCAAGTTATAAATTGCGCAGGTATGAAAAATCCAATAGAGTGGTTTTGGGCAGTTCAAGTACACATTTGCAGTGCACATTTCAATGTACGTTTTTACTATTTATTTTTCAAACATGAAAAAAAAATAAAAAAAAATCTATTTTTATTTTATTTTTATTTTTTTTTTGTTTTTCAATCATGAAAAAAAATAAAAATAGTAAAACGTACATTGAAATGTGCACTGCAAATGTGTACTTGAACTGCCCAAAACCGCTCTATTGGATTTTTCATACCTGCGCAATTTATAACTTGAAAACGGAAAGTAATACAAAAAAAATGTTTATACAAAAGTTGTTGGTAATTATGTACGAAACAACTTTGCCATTTAAAGTTTTCCATTAAAATGATATTTTCAGGGTGAAAAAGTGAAAAAACACTTTTTTTGAGACTTTAGCGCCACCTACAATGCGCATTTTTTGTTGTACGAGATTGCAACAATAACATAAATTGTAGCACTCAACGCCCTCTACAATTATGGTCGAAAAAAAAGTTTCTAAAATGCACACAAAACAAGAAAAATGCGTTTCAAAAAATTTTTGACGGTTTTTTTGAGTTTTTCAAAAAACGCCTACAAGTTGAACATGCCCATCGCCAAGGTGGCTTACTGACGTCATTTGGCAACAGAAAAAACAAGACTTACCCTTTAGGTTTTTTTTCACTGAAACGATATTTTTTTCGACAGATTGACTGTACTATTGTTGCCACCATTTTTAAAGTTAAAAATAATCTTACACCGATCCTATAATTATTTTTGGAACATCTCCTGAATAACTAATCATTGCGCAGGTACTTTCCTTTTATTCTATAGGAAGGAGGAATGTATTTAATATTTTATTATCTTTATTTATATTTTAATAATTGTTAAGGGCATGTTGTATCAAAAGCAGAAATTGTTTAACAAACCCCGTATTTGCATAAATTCATACATAGGGAGGTACTGAGTATAGCTTTAGGTTCTACGTGTAGGCACTTAATTTCTAGACCATTTTTTGTTTTATTTCAAAGTGTAAATGATCATCAATCATTAATAGGAAAATTATAGATTTGTGTAGCTATAAAAAATATCAATTAAAGTTTAGAGTTCACCCAAGGCTGCATAGACCATTAAGATGTGTAGGTATCCACGAAGGAGTAGTGAGTACCTACTTAATACTCTGATGTCCCGATTGTCACATTCATCCTAAATTAATTTTACATTTACTCCGTATACAGAATTTTGTATGAAAGTATTGATCTTAGTTTCAGTTTTCATAATAAATTTAGATAAATATGCACTTAAACTGTTTCATTTACCCATAATAACCAAATGACAAACAAACTTTCTCCTTATCTTTCTATCCCACGGATGGGCAAACTAAGAGTCTCGAATGGTTGAAATCCGGCCTGCGACGACTACAGACGATTAGTAACGACTTTAAAAACGAAAATACTAAATTTAGGCCCTGCTAGAATATGCCGCAGCGGGCCCTGGCGTCGCTGTGGCACTTTGCTGAGGCAGGGCGTAATAAAATTCTTTCTTTCTTTTAAATTAACTGAAACCAAGTAAGATAAATTAGCATGTGCGTGAGCTATCGCTAATTGCATACATGTGTCCTCGTAAAGTTAAAAAAAAAGTAAGTACTTAAGAGCCCTATTACAAATCTGCACTCTGCGAGAATGGGTATTTCAAGCGTTCCCGACAACTCATTGAAGGTCACGAGTTTACAATACTGTGTTGAACCTACGACCAAGCGATTTTGATACTTTTTTCCAAGTTTTGTATATTTTTAGTATTTCTATGTAGTAATTCGTTATCGCTATACCCGCACATTTTTAGAGTACCATGGAGGGTCTCATATGTGAATAAACAGATTAAATGAAGATGATACCATAAATAAGACAGATGATATTTGTTCAAAACAAAATTTATTTTTTATGTTTTTCGTTTTAGATTAAAATAAAAGATTAGATATTTATTATTATTTATATATTATTATAGATATAATATATTACTATTATGTTTGATTATTTACATGTCAGTATAAAACACCCTAAGTCAGAACTACCTATTTGCCAAATCTCAATCAAATCGATCTAATGATTTTTGTGTGAAAAAGCAACAGTCATGATCTTATTTCAGATTCATCATATTATAACCTGCCCGCTGAGAGAATGCGTTCTTGACATTTGTCAGTTAGTCATATTATAACGGTATATTACTCTTAGCCACCGCGGTATCCTGCTATGAGGTGGCCAATAGGAATACCCTGTTACGAGTAACTCACAGATGTCAGAAATGTACTCCCTCAAAAATAAAACGATTTTCTTGTAACGAATCAAACTATAACTCAATATCATTTATTCAGTCTAGGCTGTTACAAGTATTTGTGAATGACGAAATGCTATGCCACCGGTTCGCAAATCTACGGCGGGAGACCTTGTACTGAGAAGAACCAGCAAAAACTCAGCAAGGGCTCTTTTTCTCCCTGCCATTATATACAAAGCCGTCAAATTTAAAAATGACTTCAATATGAGATAATTCATGGTCATTTTCCGTTACAAACACAAATAAAATATATAAAAAAATACTAACACTTTAAATATACTTATTTAACACATACTTTAAGAATGCCGTGTAGGACACTTAAGACATAATAAAAAATTACGATTACAGTCAAATATAACGCTATCATTATCAGCCGACGGACGTCTACTGCTGGGCATAGGCCTCCTCAAGGGATTTCCATAAGAAACGATTCTGCGCTCTAAGCATCCAGTAGGTCCCCCTGACTCACTTGATATCGTCACTGCACCTCGTGAGGGGTCTACCGACACTGCGCTTCCCTGTTCGAGGTCGCCATTGAAGCTCCTTGGGACCCCATTTAATGTAGCAAGAGCAGACTCATCTCCGCTGGCAGCACCCATTAACCAGCATGACGCATGACCAGCCATCGCTTCGCTCAACCATGTTTTAGGGAACGTAACGATCCGCCTCACATGACACCGCCAAAGAGACTTTTAAGAGAGCATGACTACTCCCAATTACATATGGATACTAGATTGCAAATAGAAAAAAAAATAAGTACCTGTGTCCATTATTACAAAAAACACAACTGCAGGACATATGCATGTGATATCCTATACACTATTACATCTTAAATAGAAAAATAATATGTAGTTGTTGACCTATATTTGATTGCTGTGTCAAAAATCAATTAATTATCATTACAATACTCCTAAAAATCAATTAATTATCATTACAATAATACAGTAGTGATAATGTCGGGATATTTTCTTTATCCATCGGAAATAATAATGTTTTCTTGGCAGAGAAGTTATTCATTCTGAAACAGTGACATTATAAATGATTAGTGATGAATATCTCTTATACTTTAGCAGGGTTGATAGAGTTTCACATCAGGTGCATCAGACATTCGATTTTTAGGTCATTACAAAATACTCATTGTGTCTACATTTGTATCTCTTACACTTTGGCTGGGCTGCTATGGTTCCAAATTAGTTATTCCTATCGTCAAAATAATATTTATTACAGAGGACGAATAGCAATACAAAAACAAAATTTCATCAAAATCATAAGAAGACAATTTAAAAAAAAATCAAAATTGGCCCGTTTACATTTTTATTATATGTTAATATTATATATGTATGGTATGCCAAAAATAATAAAATAAATATTAATATTAAAAGAATAATTGAACACAATGCTATGTAGATTCCATATAAAACAAACACTTAAAAGAATTATACTTACCTGATCAAAACTTGTTGGTCGCACTATACTCTGACGCTCGATCGATTATGGCAAAAATTTGACACAGATCCGACGCTGAGGAGCGCTCGCGCAGTACTGAGTTCGGACGACCGGCGCATCGCATTTTGTAGTAATTTTGCAGTTGTATTTATCGTGTTAATTGAAATAAGTGAATAAATTCATGCTTTAAAATTATAAAGTCTTTATTCCTCATGAAGTAACAATTGTTCTGGTATAAATTTTGCTTAGTAATATTATCGTAAATAGGAGTAAATCGCAATTAACTTTAAGCGATTTTCGAAGATTTTTAGGTTTAGAAAAAGTTTTTTTCTATATTAAATCAAAGATATTTCAAAATTCTAAGGCTGCTACGGACTATACGACTATATAGAAGATAACATTCTCATTTTTTTATTTAATTTGCTTAGAACAGTAGTTCAATCCAGGAGCTCAAAAAAGTGCCTTAGCGCATTCTATGAAAATCTTTCTTTATTTATTTATTTATTAAGAGAAAACCAACAGTGTTATAAATAGTACTTCTATAACTAATATAAATTACGGTAAGACCAATTACAGGTTTTCTTTTATAATCAATAATAAGTGTGATATTAAACAAAACAACAACTGCACAAAAACATCAGCATCGCCAAGTCCTTTAGTTTAACAGAGACAATGTATAAAACAATAAGCAAAACAGCAGCAAGATTTCCATCATTAATCCATAGTAATAACAACGACAGATTGCAAGAACCCATCAAGCGACCAGGGCCGGGCGATGAGAAACCAAACACACATTTACAATATAATTATAATTGATCTCTCACCAGCCGACACCCGCCAACCAATGGGTCCCCCAACCAGACGTGGGCACAAACAGAACCAGAAACGGAACTAAAATTTGGTCACTAGGTATCACAGTGCATCAGATAGGCATCAATTCGGAAGTTATTGCCCTCTTAAAAGTTGTCTTAGATAGTAAAGAAATATCATATTCACTAAAGTGGATGTTATAAGTCATAGGAAGTCGTGCCAATGGGCTGTTTCTAGCATAGTTTGTGGAACATGGAGGAACGTAAAGTAAAGGTGTGTGTCGTGTACGACGTT